TTTTTTTTTTTTTTTTCTGATTGTGTCAGGTCTACCCCGAGGAAATGATCTCCACCGGTATCTCCGCGATCGACACGATGAACTCCATTGCTCGAGGCCAGAAGATCCCCATCTTCTCTGCGGCCGGTCTGCCGCACAACGAGATTGCCGCACAGATCTGTCGGCAGGCAGGTTTGGTCAAGAAGCCTACCAAGGACGTGCACGACGGCCACGAGGAGAACTTCTCCATCGTCTTCGCCGCCATGGGTGTCAACATGGAAACCGCCCGTTTCTTCACCCGTGACTTTGAGGAGAACGGCAGTATGGAGCGTGTCACCTTGTTCCTCAACTTGGCCAACGATCCTACGTACTTCTCTCTTTCTTTCTCTCTCTCCTTTGATTGTGGATGTTAAGGCTGACTCCGCAGGATCGAGCGTATTATCACTCCTCGTCTCGCATTGACCACGGCCGAGTACTACGCCTACCAACTGGAGAAGCACGTCCTGGTCATCATGACGGATTTGTCGGCATACTGTGACGCTCTGCGTGAGGTGTCGGCTGCCCGTGAAGAAGTGCCCGGTCGACGTGGTTATCCCGGTTACATGTACACTGACTTGTCCACTCTGTACGAACGTGCCGGACGAGTCGAGGGCCGCAACGGATCCATCACCCAGATTCCCATCCTGACCATGCCTAATGATGGTAACTTCCTTCCAGCTGAATTAAAAAAAAAAGAAAAGAAAAAGAACTAACGGAATAGATATCACCCACCCCATCCCCGATTTGACCGGGTACATTACCGAGGGCCAGATCTTCATCGACCGCCAATTGCACAACAAGGGCGTCTACCCGCCCATCAACGTGCTGCCCTCGCTGTCGCGGTTGATGAAGTCTGCTATTGGCGAGGGCCGTTCTCGCAAGGACCACTCGGACGTGTCCAACCAGCTGTACGCGAAATACGCCATTGGTCGTGACGCTGGTGAGTACCTTCTTCAAAAACTATCTCCAACTATCTCGTGTTCTATACTAAGTATGTAGCCGCCATGAAAGCCGTGGTGGGCGAGGAAGCCCTCTCAAGCGAAGACAAGCTCTCGCTGGAGTTCCTCGACAAGTTCGAACGCACCTTCATCAGCCAGTCGGCCTACGAGTCGCGCAGCATCTTCGAGTCGCTCGATATCGCATGGAACCTGCTCCGCATCTACCCCAAGGAACTGCTCAACCGTATCCCCAAGAAGGTGCTTGATGAGTTCTACGCCCGCTCTGCGCGCAAGACCCTTCCCTCCAAGGATACCCGGGACACCTCGGGCGAGCAGCATCAGACCCAGGCGCAGCAGAGCGGTCATCTTATTGAAACCTAGTCATTCCCTGTTTCTCTCTGTCTTTCTGTGGTTCACTGTGGTTCACTGTGGTTCTCTAGTAGATGCATATAGTCATACATATCATACTTTAGTACACTTCTACAGATACTTGTAAGGTAGACAACTAGCTATACAGTACAGTGGCTATATACTTGTAAGAAACAGATGTAGATATCCTTTTGGTTGACCGAGAACTAGCTATATAAAGTATACTTTTTTAGTTTTTTAAAACCGCAAATCCCAACCGATCTTCGGACCAAGACGGGGCAACTCATCCGCGACGCTCTGGACATCCTTGTCGCCGCGGCCGGAAAGGTTAAGAACGATATCCTTGCCCGGTCCCATGGATTTAGCAAGTTGCATAGCACCAAAGACAGCATGGGACGATTCCAGAGCGGGAATGATACCCTCCTGCTGGGCTAGAGTGCGGAAGCCAATCAGGGCTTCTGCGTCGGTGGCGGCGATGAAGGTGGCGCGGTCGCTATCCTTCCACGAGGACAACTCCGGGCCGACACCCGGGTAATCCAGGCCGGCGGAGATGGAATGGGTTTCGGAGATCTGGCCGTGTTGGTCCTGGAGGACGTAGGTGCGGACGCCGTGCAGGACGCCCTTGCTGCCTCCTGTGAGAGTGGCGGAGTGGCGCGGGGTATCGACGCCGTCGCCGCCGGCCTCGACGCCGACGAGCTGCACGGTGGGGTCGTTGGAAAAGGGGTAGAACATGCCGACGGCGTTGCTGCCGCCGCCGACGCAGGCGACCACGGCGTCAGGCAGCTTGCCGAGGAGCTGCTGCATCTGCTCCTTTGTCTCGTTGCCGATCACGGACTGGAAGGTGCGCACGATGGTGGGGAACGGGTGCGGGCCAATGGCCGAGCCGATGATGTAGTGGGTTGTGTCAAGGTCGACGACCCAGGCGCGCAGGGCCTCGTTGACGGCGTCGCGCAGCGTGCGGCTGCCGGCGTCGACCGCCACCACCGACGCCCCCAGCAGCTTCATGCGGAAGACGTTGAGCGCCTGGCGCCGCACGTCCTCGGCGCCCATGTACACCACGCACTTCATGCCGAACTTGGCGCACACGGTCGCGGTGGCGACGCCGTGCTGGCCCGCGCCCGTCTCGGCGATGATGCGCGTTTTGCCCAGCCGGCGCGCAATCAGGATCTGGCCCAGTGCGTTGTTGATCTTATGGCTGCCCGTGTGGTTGAGATCCTCACGCTTGAGCCAGATGTTGGCCCCGCCCACGTGCTCCGTCAGTCGCTGCGCCAGGTGCAGGCTGCTGGGGCGCCCCATGTACGGGTAGTAGGAGCGGAACTCGTCCCAGAACTTGGGGTCGTTGAGCGCCGTCTCGAATCCCTTCTCCAGCTCGGCCAGGCAGTCCATGAGCGACTCGGGCACGTACTGGCCGCCGAACTCGCCGAAGCGCGACGGGATCGCCGCCGGGTTGGCGCTGCTGGCATCACTGTTCAATGCCTCGAGCTGGTCAGCCAGGCCCGGTCCGGCGGGCGTGTCGGCCTCAGTGATCACCTGGGTCGGGTGGGCCTGGGGGATCGCCTGCGTCTTCTCCACCACATCCAGCACCTTAATCTCACGGGTCAGATTACCCTGGGTGTCGCGCTCCAGCTGACGGCCAGTGATACTGGACAGGTACTCTGTGACCTTGGCGGCGGCCTGGCCGGCGGGAGCCTGACCCAGCACGGTGATGATCTGGCTGCCGATGACGACACCCTCGGCGACCTCCTGGACGGAGAGGAAGTGCTCGCGGGTGCTAACGCCGAAGCCGAGCGCGGCAGGGATATTGCCCGAGTACTGGTGCACGCGGGCCAGGAGTTCGGGCAGGTGAGCGCTGAGCGAGCCCGTGGCACCAGTCACACCCATGCGAGAGACGACGTAGATGAAGGAATCGGCAATCTTGCACAGCAGTTTCATGCGGGCGTCGGAGGTGGAGGGGGCGATGAGGGGGACATATGAGAGTCTAACAATCAACATAACACTACCAAAAAAGAAAGAAAGAAAGAAGAAAAAGAAAGAATGTACTCACCCATTGCTGGCACATAGATCTCTGAAGCGAACGGCCTCCTCGGGTGGCAAATCGACCATGATGAAGCCATTGACGCCGGCCTCGCGGCAGTCCTTGAGCATGCGCTCCTCGCCATACTGCATGAGCGGGTTATAGTAGCCCATGAAGAGCACGGGGGCCTTGAGGCCTCTGTTGCGGGCGGTGCGGACCATCTCCAGCACGGTCGTCACCGTCACGCCGTTCTCCAGGGCGATCGTGTTGGCTTTCTGGATCGTGGGGCCATCGGCAATCGGATCTGTGAAGGGGAGGCCCAGTTCGATGATATCTAATAATCAACGTTAGTCTCTAGATAGCTAGACAGCTAGACAGCTAGACAGCTAGACAGTAGGTAGATGAAGAGCAAAGCAAATCCTCACCGGCACCACCATTCTCCAATCCCAGGAGAATATCTACCGTCTGCTCAACCGTGGGATATCCAGCAGTGAAATAGCCGACCAGCGCGGCACGCTTCTCCTGCTTGCACTTGGCGAATGTGCTCCGAATGTGCTCCATGTTGACTGAGGGTGTAGCAGAGAGGGGAGAAGACTTAGAGAAAAAGAGAGAGAGAGAGATAGGGAGGGGGGGGGGGGGGGGGATATAGAGGAAGTAAGGAGGGGGAAGCACGGCACAGTGGGGCGGGAAAAGGACAATCTGCTCAATTGGGTCCTGACAGAATGAAGAGACAGGGTCCTGAGGAATGCAGATGGGTCTTCAAACCGAGGCAGAGGCGGCGTGGAGCGGCGTGGCGAGTGAGTCGTGGTCGTGAACAGACAAGACGGTTTGTTCGCTTTGAGTCACCAAAAAGTCGCAGGCGCCGATTTCGTTCCCCCGCCTGGTCATGTGATTGATAAGATAGTGCCTGAGGCATCATGATGGTGATGGTATAACCACGAGTTAACAGTTGACTATATACTACTCTGGCACTTGTAGACAGGTACGACAGTGAGAAGAATTGAAGTGCCATAAGATTGAATTATAATCCAGAATTATAGAGCCATAATTATAGAGCCATAACCTTAGCCCGCCAAACGCCATAGCTATGCATGCACGCTGGTCGTTCAAGTCCCTGATCGGCTTCGAATGGAACATAGGTATAGAAAGAAGAGAAAGAAGAATAAAGAACAGGAAACAACATGCTTTTGCCAAAAAAGAAAAAAAAATTAAATAACCAATGCGTGGTTCCCAATAATATATCCCACACGTCTGTCGGATCGTAAGGAATGACTGCCGCGCCGTGCCTATGCAAACCATAGTCGTACAACTTATTTTCTCGTGTCCAAGGAATGTATCCCAAACCTGCCTAGGAAACCTTGGAAAAGACAAGGAAAGGAATGGACAAACGCCCAGTGTATAATGCCAGCGTTCGTAAAAAGAAAAAAGAAGAAAAAAAAAAAAACAAGGAAGAAGCAAGATGTCGAGGCATGGGCGTCTAGTTCGATTATATGAAAAGGAGAGACATCAATTCATCAAACAAAAAATATATCATGCAAATGCTTGGGGAACCATGATTGGACATGTCATAGTAAGGAAGGACAAGAAAAGAAGAGGAGTATCACGGCCAGTCTAAAGAGCACCTGAAAAAAGAAAAAAGGAAAAAAAAACTGGATCCAAATAACCAATGGCAATGCAACAGGACAAATAGTGAGACCAGAGGAACAGAGATAATGGAGGAGAAAGCAGGGGGGGGCAATCAAAAAAGCAAGAAATCAAAAATGAATAGGAAAAACGTTAAAAATGGCAAAAAAGGTTAAACAAATGTCGAAAAACGCCGGTTGTATGCAGTTCGATATATCGGGGTAAAGGGGGAGAAGGCAACAATTACAGACCGTTGGACGACTCGAGGATAGGATACGACACTGGAGGGACGTAGTAGGAAGTAACAGCCGTGGGCGCAGAGGCTCCATTGACGTTGACTGGATGGATATCCCACGACGAATGCCGGGGTATTGGGGCCGGGTGGCCAGGATGGGCGTGAGGAGCGTAGGCGTATGCAGATGGGGTGGGCCCGTACGGGTGACTGGCCGCAGGGAGCATGGAGCGGAAATCTGCTGGCCCAACGGAGGGGTCAATGGACGGCGAGTACACGGGGGCCGTCAGACTGGCCCCATACGTGCTCGATTGGGCCGAGTCGGACACCGACTGCGGTGACGGCATGTTGTTCGTCTCCGCGCCGGAATCCGAAGTGGCCGGATGGCTGGCAAAGTTGGAGGCAATGGAGGCGGGGAGAGCCGACGCGGTCGAGGAGTAGCTAGCAGACTTTTAGAGGTTAGCAGGCAGTCTAGGAAGAAGAGGAAGAAGAGGAAGAAGAGAGAGAGAGCTTACATATTTCCCGATGATCTTCTTCAGGGCGTGAGCCAGGATCTTCCAGGGAAAAACCTTGACGTCCTTCTCGATGTTGCGGGGCTTGGGCGCCGGAAAGCCCATGATGACCTTGAAGAAGTCCTCGCTGTCGGCCTTGGCCTTGGAAACGGTCAGGGGGCGGAAGCCTTCGAGGTTACGGCGGATACGGTTTTTCTCCTCGACGGTGAATCGGACGCCGACGAGCGACTCGAGCAGGTAGATGGTGTCCACGCTAGTGACGAAGCACTCGTCCTTGCCGTCCCAGTAGATGCAGCTGATGCAGATGCTATTCGGGGCACGGTCCTCGGGGGCCACCGGCTTGAAGTCGGCGTGGATGGTGCTGCCGTTCTGCGCGCGGGTGAACTGGACAAGACGCCGTCTGGCCTCGCGTTCGTCCTTGCTCCAGCCCTCAGCCATGGCGTCCAGGTCACCGTTGAGTTTGAGAACCGCCTTGGATGGATACATGGCATAGGGGTTGAACGGCTGCGCGTGGGACAGGTTCGTCGCCGTCTGCAAGGTGGACGTGCGGATCAGAGTTGGGTTGCCGGCACGGGCGGCGGGTGAAACCGCCTTCTGCTGACGCAGGGAGTGGCTCACGGTCAGTCCGGTGGTGGTGGTGGTGGTTGTGGCGGCGGTGGTGGCCCGCGTGTCACACGCGACTGGGACATAAGAAGCAGGACTCCACGTCGGCGTCAGCGGCGATGGCGCCCGGAGGGTTGGCTGCCCTGGAGCCGATACGTTGGCATACTGGATGGAAGCCAACCGGCCGGACGGCGAAGGCGCATAGGAGGAGGCCGCATACCCGGGGACAGCGTGGACGGTTGGCAGAGCCGGGAGGAAGGGCGAGTACGACCCCGCGCGCTCAAGCTCATGGTGCGAGGCGGTGTCCAACGTGTCCTTACTCATGGGGATCGTCTGCATGGAGGCCCGTTTGCTGGGAGGCGCGAGGAGGGGTTCGGAGAAGGAGGTTGGAATGCGTCGCTTCTTGGACTCGTCCGACGGGGGAGAGTGCGCGGTCGCGTGTTCATAGGTATAGACGCCCACCTGGAGGGTGGTGGTGGGAAGGGCGTCCTCCTGCATGTGCAGCGAGACCTGGAGCGGGACGGCAAAAGACGGGGAGCCGGTTAACATGAAGTCGGGAGCATCCACAGACAGGCCGTATTGGAAAGCAGAACCCTGGAAGCCCAAGAAATGGGGGATGCATTCGCATTTCTTGGTTCCGAAAACCAGGAAGAGGGCGGCGTACGATGAGGTGTGTAGGTCATATGGGGACTGGATCTGGACAAAGACGCGGGTGCCTTCGCCGCCGCGTTGCGGCGTGTAGGAGAGCACCTCCGGCACAGGCTGAGACTGATCGAGAAGCATGGGGGAGCGAGCCTCTTCGTACGAGCTGGCATAGTCCTGATTCGTCAGGTATGGCACGCAGTCCGAAACCTGGCTGACCTGATCGACCATGGGAGACGGAACGAGCTGGGTAGGCACATATTGGGGCTGGCCGTAGCTCGGGTAGGGCACACCATCTTGCAGAGATCGTGACGCGCCGTAATCTACTCCCAGTGAGTAAGGGGGTATAGATAGAGAGAGAGAGAGAGTGTGTGTGTGTGTGTGTGTGTGGAACTCACCGATCAAGGCAGCGGAGGTATGTTTCGGAAAAGCCGCCATAGACAGGATGGGCTCAGACTTGGCCAGCAGGCCGTCTGAGAAGGCACCACGGAACCGTGACTCTTCAGGATCAGAGAAGTCCAATGACTCGTCCAGTATCAGGGGCGTTTGGAACTCCGGGTCGAACTATGTCGTACAAACCATCAGCAATGTGTCAAGTGAATACGCTTGACAGAAACAGACGGAGAGAGAAAAGGAGGAAAGGAGGGCTTAAGGGTCGCCTTACCGGAATACCGTGAGTCTTCGGGTAAGCCAGTTTGAAGGTGTTGCAGCGATAACTGCAACGAGACGGGACACCCTACAAGGGAAGCGAATGACAGGGAATTTATTGCGAGGAAAACGAGCGTATGTCGGAAAGTCACTGGTGGACCGTCCGAGACAAGAATGAGTAACGACTGGCCGGCGAGTTGAAGTCTGTCGGTGCTTTTAGAAAACGGCAAGCAACAAAAAGTCTCGAATCGACATCCAGACGTCCAAAATGGATGAAACCCGTAGAGGCTAGCTGCAGGAGAGACGAGCCCAACAAACCCGTGGGCTCCGTTCCAGGTAATTTAGGCAGGCCGCTACTGAAGATCGGCGTGTAGTCGACGGGAATCACCAAGCCGGAGCGAGATTGGGAGGTTCTGCTCTACCCGTGAGATGTTCCAGGATGAAGCCTTTAGTTTCCCACAAGGGGCAAAAGATAGGACTGGATTCTATCTTCGACAGGCAGGGCAGGCTTTTGGTTTTTTTTTTTTTTTTTTTGTTCCCTGGATTTGACGTAGACAAGCGATCTAGAACGGGAGGTAGTGAAGCGAATCTGGTCAAAACTATCTCATTCATCAATACGAGAGCCCTATTTTCAAAGCAGAGTCAGAAGCCGGCTTGTTGCAGCAGAACTTACCGAGCGAAGTAGTCGAAACAAAGGAAGTAAGACTGGAGAGATGACCCAGGTCAAAGACGCGGTGATACAACGGACGAAGCGTTTCTGCTGCAGCATAATAATGTCAATCGCGCTCTGTGCCACAATAACAACAACAACAATAATAATAACGCCTTTTCTTTTCTCTCTCTCCCACCCCCCCCACAGCCCCGGGGCAACCACGATGCCACGGCTCTCTCTGATTGCATCCTGATGGGAGTACAACGCGGGGGAAGGGATTCTCCACTCAACACCAGGAGGGAAGCAGAAGCAAGGAGCATTTGAGTGTTGAAGGGAAGAAAAAGGGCTGGTACAAGAAAGAGGCTTGATGGGGAGAGATGAGGGGGAGATGAGTTTATGCAAGGCAAACCCCCTCTGCTCCCCTCCTCTCCCCTTCCTCTCCGCCACCAAAGGGAGGAAGAAAACACAGACGTAAGATGAGATTGCAAGCAAGAGAAAAGAAAAAAAAAAAAAAAAAAAAAAAAAAGACTGACCTTTGAATGACAAGGGGTAAAACCAACGAACCGATCCGATCTCAGCAAGATGGTGTTTCGAACAGCACCCCAACCGAGACAGGGGGGGAAGATTTCGAAGAAGAAGAAGAAACGATTGACGCTGGTTGCTGCAGATACAGACCCTCTTCCTTTCCTTTCCTTTGCTTTCCTTTTTGGAGACGGAACGAGGAGGTTCAGTAGTGAACAAACGGGTACGGATGAGCAAACGCAAGCACAGAGCCTCGACAAGGCATGCAACGCGTACCCGTAATAGAAGTAGGACTCCGTAGAAGCAGCAGCAGCAGCAGCAGTCGTAGCAGTCGTAGCAGTCGTAGCAGTAGACTACCTAGTACTAATAAGAGTAGAGGTAGTGGTGGCGTATTAGAAATTAGAAGGTGTGTATCTTTTTGGGGCAGGTCCACACGGATGCTTTTTTGGGGAGATTTGATAGTCGAAACCAGATCCAATCCAGTGTTTCCTCTTTTTCTTGGCCTTCTTGGGTCTTTCCCTTTTTTACCCTCTTCTTCCTCTTCTCCTTCTTGGGTCTTCTGAAGGAAGTTTCCCGAAGGCAAACCGCAACCAAGCGTAGCGAGCGTAAGTGGGTATAGCGAGCGTGGAAAGCGAACGTGGAGACGGAGCGAACGTCGAGCGGGGCTCAGGGTCTTCTGGCTGGGGGGGGGGGGGGGGGGGAGGAGGAGAGGGGGAAGAGGAAATATAATTCCACGGGAGAAGGAAGAAAACGGGCAGCCCTCAGAAGCTATATTTACCAGAAGAGCCGCCGTGGAGAAGAGGAGAAGAAGAGGAGGAGGAGGAGGAGGAGTGGTTGGCGTTGCTGCAATGAACCAGGCAGGAAGGAAGGCCTGATGGAGCTAGTGGGAGACCGTGCTTGGGGGGGAAGACATGCAGCGGGATTAGTAGGAGGAGGAGTACTTGATGGTAATAATAATAATATTATTGTCAAAGTCATATAGTCATAGTCATAGTCATAGTCATGGTCATAGTCATAGTTTAAAGTCGTAGTTAAAGTCATGGTCATGGTCATACTACTGGTAATTATTTTTACTTCATTATTTCTGCATAACTAAAGGAGGCAAACCAATTCAGAGGCTTGGATGGCCTGATTCATTAAATTGACTGTTCACCAATTTTCAGCGAAAAACCCAGCGGAAAGGGAGGGAAAAAAAAAAAAAAAAAAAAACAATAAAAACTAAAAAATAAAAAAAAGGCTGACCGTTGACCATGGGAAGGGAGAAGAGGAGGTCGGACAAGCTAGAGGCGAGGGTGGGTGCCAATCAGGGACCGCAGGTCTAACAAGGGTCAGAGACTTGGAAGTTGGAAGGAGACTAGAGAGTACCGAGTGATACTAGACTAGAGACTACCGAATAGTTACTATAGTTAGTAGGTAGAGAGCTCAGTACTCGATACTTGGGTACGGAGTAGATTAGGTACGGAGTACCCAGTCGTTAGCAGGTAGGTAGTTACTAGGAGGTACCTCTGATAGTACTAAAGTACCAGGCTAGTACCGGATAGGTGATTCGGACCCGGGACCGAGAAAACAGCCGTGGCGGATACGAGCTGTGGGATGGAGCACCGCCTCTTTTTGGGCTGGCGTGATTAACTCCACCAATGGGCGCGTCCCGGAGGATCCGGCATCTCTTCATCCCGATCCATCCTGGTGACCCAATCGAGCATGACTTGCCTGATCGGGCGCGTGTTGATTCCCTGGCGCAGACTAAATCAGTAATAATTCCGTTCGGTGGTAGCCTAGCCTGAGATGGTTAGCTGGACTCCTATGATCACTTGATGCAATGCGGAGTGTCGGCAGATTACTCTGTGTACTCCATACTCGAGTACAGATATATTTAGTATAATAAGTACCTAGGTATAATATAAAGTATAAATACTACCTAGTATATACCATATTACTATCCTAAATTGGTAATATTTAGTAGTGATAATATAAATCAATATGTTAATATGTAGTAGAGCTCTATTACAATCACATTAGGTAATACCTACGGACTCCGTCTATATGTAGTATACAAGGTTTGCACCAGGTCAGGAGGGGTTAGAGGCCGATCTATGCTACTAAACTTAGCAGCCTTGCATGCCAAGTGCGCCACTATCCGAGTACGAACAGAGTACAGAGAGGTACCTAAGGTACTACTAGGTAACTAGTTAGGTACAAGGTAGGTACAAGGTAGGTAGTTACCTACCGTACCTGTCTGTATGTATATGTACAGACCACAGGATGTATACACATTAGTCTGCAGTCCTTATTAATGACTTACTTGACTGAGTATACTCTATATAGACTCCGTAGTAGAGTTAGAATCCAAGTATTTCTATTATAATAAGATTTAATATCAATAATATATTAAATTGATAAATTAGTTAGTACTCTGTAATAATACGTGATAATACCTACCTAGTACTAACTACTAAGTATATGAGGTCATCCATGTCCACGAGTGGCCCACAAAAATAGCAGCGATCAGAGTTTGATCATCCTCGGGCTCGGGGCTTTTCCACGTTGCTGTCATTCCTAATCAGAGGTGAACTACGGAGTAGTAACTACTCCGTACTCCGTAGTGGTTTAAATTAAGTTGCAATTTATTTTAATTTCCATTCGTGCATACCCTGGCAATTAATCAAGACTAAATAAACTAAGTGGCTCGCGCACACTTGGTTGGACTCATTAATCAGACTCTTGTCCTTGCTGTCCACTTGCAAGGCGTACAGAGTACCAAGGACCTACGGTACCTAGAGACCTTGCTGTTGAATTAATTCTCCTTTGAAGCACGGAGAGTACGGAGAGTAACTACTAACAGGTAGTATGTGTACCAATATCTATTCTTGGTGAGACATTCTATTTTAGCAGCATGGGAGGACAGACATATCAGAAGATAAGCCCATTAATGGCGCAGGCCGCCTCGAGGTTTAAAGAAATGCTACTGTTGCAGAGAGGTTACACTCTCGCGGCCGCTACGGAAAAGCCCGTGTAGTGTTGACTAACTATCAATTATTAAGGTGTATGATTAATCTGGATAGATTACCAAGATCTGCAGGCACTGACTCAGTCAGCTCAAGCCAGCGTGTTTGATTAATGAATACTGCTGATCCATACAGATCGACTTGACCGACTGGTCTCTAGGCATAGCGATCGTCTCCTTGTAGATCCCAGCTTCTAGAAAACTGTCGGTCAACTGTCGGTCAACTGCCGGATACATTGGAGATCAGTGTAAGCTTAACATACTACTAGTAACTAGTAGTAGACTGTTGATATTAAAAAGGAATGATGAGGAAAAAAGATGAGGAAGAAAAAAGAATGAGGAAAAAAAAGCAATCCCCCGAGCCGGAATCGAGCCGGCGACCTTTCGGTTATATGTTACATTACAGCCGAACGCCATATCCAACTAGACCATCGGGGGTTATTTGCATTAGCCGCTTCTTATTTAGACATAAGATGATTGTTTACAGTTTTACAGTTTTACATAAGATATTCATCTACAGTTTTATCAAGTCTCCTATTAACTACTACGTACCTACATAATAGTCATCTCCCAAACTATGCCTACTTCCTGTTACTTTCTAGATTTATCTAGTATAGTGCTTACTCTACTCCATCGCTCTATTCCGATCTACGTCTATCCCGGATCTCCATGGCTAAATATACTCACCTCCGACTAGTTTCAGTTCCAAGGAAGTCTACTCCATAAGGCTTAGTTAGTGGCTGGCTGAAGCGGACGTATACCGAATACTACCTTATTTAGTGCCATCTATACTTGGCTATGTAGGCCATGTACTTGTTTAGTAACTTGTTAAGGGTGCAGTTCCTGTCGATCAATATACCACGTACTATACTTAGACTAATGGCTCTAGGATTGATGTCTTGGTACTACAGTACTACACCTATACTATGCTTATGTTCATGTTTATACTATGTCTATGTAACCAGGACCTAATATCCAATTGGATGCTTGTTATTGATCAGTAAACTGTCCTGCCGACACCGGCTGCTAACACTACACAGACTGCTGCGCACTCTCGTCCACCCCTCGCCCATAGCAGATGGGAAATAGCTTGGCCCAGAATCCATACGAGCCCGAGCTCTTCCCGCGAATACTCACCAGCCATTGTGCAAAGGCCTGCTCCGTGTGGAAAGGGTCGGAGCTGCGGAACTCGGCGACCTGTTCATCAGTACAATGGTTACCCGATTCTAGAATCCCATCCACGCCAGTCTCTTACCTCACTATACTTCCTCAAAGCCGAGTGGTACCGCGCCGACAAGCCAAGTTGACGACGAAGCACATGCTTCTGGATCCTCTCCGCCGCCGTGACGTACGCGCGGGTCATCAGCTCGCGGTCTGGAGGAGGATGAGGGGGAGGGGCCTGCTGCTCGTCGTCTGGAAGAGTCTGATGTGCGCCCCCGCCAAAGGGCAGCTTCCGCCCAAGATACGAGTATACGACCTCGATCAACCGGGTGAGGATATCCGCCTGCCAGGTGACGAGGAGCTCGTGGTGGAAGGCCAATGCGTGCCGCTGGACACGAGACAGGTCGCGTTGGAGGTCCTGCAGGTTGGAGAAGATCTTGGACACCTTGGCTTCGAGGTCGTGGTTGCTACTCTCGAGCGCGGCCAGGGCAAGCGAATAACTCTAGCCGGTGAGATCAGCTAGTGGAGTGGTCAACAGTGTGGGCAGAGAGGTACTTACCGTGAGGGGTGGTTGGGGCTCTAGAGAAAATGGATCGAGATAAAAGGACATGCCGGGGCCATACAGATAGGTGATATGATCCATGGTGGTACAATGCTAACAAATGTTTGATTCGATTTAGGTTAACAATGTTGAGAGAGTCCACAAGAAGCAACCTGGAAGTGTTGTTGAAGTATTGTGAAGTGTGTTAGGAAAGAGCTACAGCTTGCTTTCCGCATCCGCAAACTCCAAGACCAGCTTTCCAAACTGCCGTCCCTGCTTCATCTCGCCAAAGAGCGCATCCAGCCCCGCCAGATCGTCCAGACTGCTCTTCAAGACCCGCGACACGACAGGCCGGATCTTGTGTTGCCGGACGAAGGCGAGCATCTCGGCGAACTCGCGGCGCGAACCCATGGTCGTGCCTCGGACGTCGATATTCTTCAGCACCGCCTGCATCAGGAAGGGCATTTTGGGGGAAACAGTCATTCCGTAGACTACCAGGACTCCGCCGGCCTGTATAGTTAGAGGGGGGGAAAAAACAATAGCTAGGTGATAATGAAGAGATACCTTGAGTAGTTTGACTGATTTTTCAATTGAATCCCCCCCCGCCCCATCAATAATAGCATCAAAGACCCTCTCCGGAGGCAAGAGCTGCTGCAACTTCTTCTCCCACCCGTCCGTCCTGTAATTGACCCCCCCTTTTGCCCCGAGCTCGGCAGCGCGACGGAGCTTCTCCTCGCTCGAGCTGGTGACGTAGACGTCGACACCGCGCGCGACGGCAAACTGCAGAACAGCGAGGGCAACGCCGCCGCCGATGCCAGTGACCAGCACAGTCGATCCAACGGTCGAGTTCCTTTCTCCAGCCTTGTGGACCAGGGCGCGCCACCCGGTCAGTCCCGTCAGAGGGAGGGCGGCGGCTTCGGCGTCGGAGAGATGGTCGGGCGCCTCTTCCACCTCGTCGACATCAATGCTCAGCAGTTCCTGCAGGGTTCCCTTCTCGTACAGCTTTGTGCCGCCTAGGATCCTGTACCCTCTTGCATCTTCGGGGCCGTCGGGGGCTTCCCTCCAGCCGACGCCTGGGTTGACGATCACCCGTTTCCCCATCCATCTGTCTCTGTTGGGGACATCTGCCCCGGCGGCGATGATGACTCCACACCCGTCTGTGCCGAGAGGAACGTCGAACGTCACGCCTGGGTAGAGGTGTTGGCGGAGGAAGAGGTCGCGGTGGTTCAACGCTGCGGCAGAGAGTTTGACGACCACCTCGCGGCCTTGCGGGGGGGGAGGGGATGGAATCGTGCGCAGCGAGAGGGGGTAGTAGACTTGTCCTGGTTTGCCGTCGACTCGGTCGATGAAAATTGCCTTTGCCATTGCGATGGTAGTAAATAGGTAGTAAGTCGTAGGTAGTAGTTGGTGATGAGGGGTGCTTTTATTAGTATGGAGTGCCTCGGCTAGATAGAGCAGATAACAATTCTGAGGAACTACTTTACTCTAGAACAAGACAACTCCCGACTACTTATAATTAAGACTGCTTTGGATTCTTGTCTCTAATTAACAGCTCTCCTCCGATGAAATGACCTGCACTCACTAGGCGCAGCACCAACACTCCCACCACTAACGCTCCCACTACTAACGCTACCACTCCCAAAACTCCCAAAACTCCCACTACCATCACTAACAACGCTCTCTAGATCACTCTCACAAGAGCTCACGGTATCCGACTGGTTTCGTCGACGGCCTACTGCCACCGGCCGATTGTTCCGAGAGAAATGTGGTGAATACCGACATGGACACGGACAGGACTGACAACCAGACCGGGACGGAGGAGGTACACCAACGCACACAGACGAGTCCGCACAGGAATACCGTCTATCATCGACAAGACATCCGCAACAGTCGTATCGAGGAGACGGGGAGCAGGGATCGCAGCAGACTGGCTGCGAACAGGGACAGGTCTGGAGATGGGGACAGCAGGAGTGGGAGGAGCAGGAACAACAGGGGACGCTGATACGGCCAATATAGTCGCCGTGTAGGAAACCGTGGCGAAGAGCCTTGCCTTTCCAGTACCAGTCAAACGGGAGGGATTTCATGGTGGAAGTTGTGGTTTGATATGACTGACAGTTGGGAGTAGATATATATAGTTGGATATATGTAGTACCTACAAAGCCAAGACAAAGAGTCCTACATCTAAAAGAAGTACAGATAAACTAGGATTACAGACAAAGAGGATATACCTACTCTCAACAATAGAACCAGATGGAATAGATATCTCTGGTATAACAAACGCAACAGGGTGCCTCAGGCAGACAGCAGGACGAGTGGCAGTGATAGACCAGAAACAACCGAATAATATCCTATAGACGTATCTATGCAACAGGAGTAATTAATCAGTATATGGTAAGATTTCCTACTAGATAATATAATATTAAAAGAATATACTACATAGCTATACTGCATATACTACATATACTACATTGTGCTGTAAGGAAGTGTGCTGGGCATGCGTGGCAATAATAGCATGGAGTTATAGCCACAGTATTCTAGCATAGAATTTACGTAGTCTCTACAATGTACATACTGCAGTACTACTAGTTAATAGAAAGTATCATCAATTAGTATTCCTTGATAGCCATAGTATAGTTATATCCTAGGTAGGAGTAATCATACTAAATCATAGTAATATTCATATGTACTCCGTAGACTCTGTCTCTGTCCACTATTTCCACCGCCTCCGCTAATTCGTCCTCCGCCTCTTTTTTCGCCAGGAACTTTCCTCTGACCCTCGATCTTCCTGATCTCGACCGTGATCGTCACCTCGCTCTCGCAATCTCTAGCCTCAACCGCCTTGCTCCTACTATTACCACCCTCTCGATCATCTACCGTCCTCTCCTGCTCGTCTTCTCACGCTGCAGTCCCCCGCCGTGCCCTCCCACGAACGCCTCCTCGCGACCACGACTTCGTTTCCCCCTCTTAACCTCGCCTTCAACCTCCTGTCCGAACACCTTTTTCTTTTTTCGAGCTGCTCCTCCCGGTCACCCCGTGTCTGTCTGCAGCTTCTCAACACCATGCCTACACCTTTGCCCTCTAGTTTTGCCTCTGCCGCTGCTGGGAACGTCCAGGACCCGGCCAGCAGCAGGCGAGGAGACGGACCCAGTGCAGAATGGTAAGCTCAAAACTCCACACAGCACTTTCAATCAACCCCAATCCTGTCCAGAAGCCCACGTATTCCTTTTTTTTTCCTATCCTTTTCTTCTCGATAATATCTCGGGATACCTGCTGGGGGAATTCGATAGAATACCTTTTTTTTTTTTTTTTTTTCTTTGTTGCTGCTTGTCTGTGTTTTTCTTTCTTTTTCTCTCTCTCTTTTTTTTTCCCACCTCCTCCCTTCTCCCCTCTTCCCACAAACCAGCAATTCCCACAAATATAAAAGAGAACCGCAGCACTGACCGTGTTTCCTCTTCCAGGTCTCGATCCCGAATGAATGGAGCGACACAGACCTTCCGCCGCCCGTCACTCGCCACGAATCCCTTGCACACCACCTCCCGGGATACCACCAGCAGCCAGCCCGCCTCGGCGACGACTCCGACCGTGGCGGCGTATATCCCCCCACACATGACTCCGAACTACCAGCAGCAGCTGCTGCGCAACGGCCTGGCTGGCGACAGCCGCTATTCCAAGGACCAGCTACTCAGTCTGTACCGTAGCCAGCGCGATCTGGGCAGCCTGGGGAAGAACGTGGCAGAGCTTTTCGTCGCTGACTGGGACCCGCTCGTCGAGTCTCCGTTGGCCGCCAACGGCGCCTGGGGGAAACGAGACGACCATAAAGAAAACATTCCGTCGGGCCCGGAGGTCTGCTGGGATCATGGAGGCCAGATCGAACCCTTGGGCTTGATTGATATGACCGATGATGAGCGGGAGGTACGTCGTGTCTATTAAATTTGTTTTTTCCTGCGTTTCCTCTCTATTCCTATCAACTGTTCGCGTGCTGATTACTCGCGCTTCTAGCTATTCACTCTCTCGGTCAATTCGCCCCTGAAACCCCCTCCGACAAACGCCAACAAGGAAAACCCTGGTACAACCACCGGCAATCGAAAGGCATCCATCTCCTCCTACTCCCAGGGCGGCCACATGAACACCTTCAACACCTCCTCCCCCAGCACCGGGCGGCCCGGCGCCCGCCGTCGTGAGACGAGCGACTCCATAGGCCCCGCCATGTCCCCAACCACTGCGGGCTCGCGCTTCTTCCGCGACGAGGCCAACACGTCGACTCCGCCCCCCGCCCTACTGCGTCGCAAGACCGATTTCCGTGACCAGGCCCCCAGCGCCCGCCTGGATGACAGAGACAAAGAAGGTTTGCCAGGTAAGGAGGGGGCCGCTGCCGACATCTCGTCTCCCTTTGGCTCTTTGAAACGCAGCTCCACCAATCCCTTAGCAACAGGCCTCGGTGGCGCTTCCAATTCGCCCTGGCCGTCGGCATCACAAAGCGCTTCCTTCTCACCTATGGGTGCGTTTGGTGCCTTCTCCCTCGGTTCGGGTAGTGGGGGCGGCGGCGGCGCTGCCGCTGCTGCTGCTGCTCAAGCCCCAAACACGGAGAAAAAGGCCGGCTATGGGAGTCTCCGCGGGGAAAGTCGATTCAAAGGTTTGCTCTCCAAGGATAGTACCGAAGACCTGGGTGCAGTATCCGCCTCAGTCAAGGAAAAGACATCCCTTAGCAACCTGGAACGCCTAGAGGAGTCCGATAATGACCCGCGCGCCCAATCCCCCTGGGGGGAAGCGCTTAGAACCCGCGCCGGGCGCAGTGAAACCAATCCGTTTGTCGAGGAGCCTCGCAGTGGCAGTGCCGCCCTGGGGGGTTCTCAGGAAACGGGCCCCGCATCTCAGAACACCGATCAGCTTGGATTCGGTGCGTTTGGGATGACCTCTAGCATCCCAGGCTTCCGTGAGCTGATGCAGAGCCACGAAAACTCCCGCAACCCGACCCCGAGCCTCCTTCAAGGCCACGAACCGACCAGCCCGACCAACACCAACCCTTACCAGAGTCCCCACGGCGAGAAGGTGGACGCAGAAGACGTCGATACTGATGGATCGGATGTCGTCCATCATCCGGGCATCTCCGGTCTGCGCGATACGGCAAACCCCTTCGGCTCCATCCGCAGAGTGGGCTCTGGTATGGACTTGCCTTCTTCCATCGACCGCAGCCAGTCCTCCAGCGTCGCGGGCAACCGTAGCTTCTCGAGTCTCGGGGGCCTCGGGGGTCTCCCCACGCTCGGTGGAACATCCTCTGGCTGGCCCACCAGCGCGGCCGTCGGAACGCCCACCCGTGAGCGATCTGCCTTTGTCTCAGGCTTTGGCGATCCGATCTTTGGGTCCATGGGTGATCTCCAATCCCCTAGCCTGTCCTCTACCTTGGGCGGAAGCGGTCTCTTTGGGCCCCATAGTGGGATCTCTGGCACTGGCAGTATTGGCCGGTCCAGCAAGCTGGGATCGTTGTTCCCTGCCGCCATGCAGGAGCAGATGCAGGCGGAACAGGCACGACAAGAGAGTGGGAGTGTGGATGAGGGGACTCGACTGACAGGTAAGGAAACGGCAACCTTTGGAGTGCCTTCCCTGCAAGGCATGCCAGCTTTGATATCTTTATATCTTTTTCGGCCCTTTATTTTCGTTGCGAAACCCCTGCTAACCTAATCGTAGACGATTCTCAGCCTTCGGACAAGCCCGGTCAGATCGGCCAGTCTACATCTGCAGCGCAAACCCCCGTCTCTGTTGGTGGATCGGTTGCCGCACTCGACTCGGCCCAGTCCAACAACGCAGGCCAGGTTTCCGGCTCGGTGCCTCCCGCTCAGCAGCGAACCATGGTCATGCCTGATCGGATGCGGTGGATCTACCGGGATCCCCAGGGCAATATCCAGGGGCCCTGGACCGGACTGGAGATGCACGATTGGTTCAAGGCCGGCTTCTTCAGCCCGGACCTGCAGATCAAGAAGCTTGAAGACCCGGAATTCGAACCGCTGGCTCAGCTGGTGCGGCGGATTGGCAACTCCCGCGAGCCCTTCCTTGTGCCGCAGATCGGAATCCCGCATGGCCCTGATCCGAACCCTACGCACTGGACCGGCGCCACCACGGGCTCGGCCCAACCTCCCTTCCCCGGCAGCTTCCCGAGCTTCGGTACGACCTTGACAGCCGAGCAGCAGAATGCGCTGGAGAGAAGAAAGCAGGAGGAGCAGTATCTGATGGCCCGGCAGAAGGAGCATCTGGCCCAGCAGCAGGCGATGATGAAGCAGATGCAGCTGCAGGGTGTCCCGCCCAGCATGCTCCCCCATCAGTTGCAGCATCATTCCAGTGCTCACAGCCTCCACAGCCAGCCGAGCTTTGGCAGTATTACGTCCCCCGTGGGGTATCAGCCCTCTCCGATCCAGGGACCCCCGCAGCAACAGCAGCAGCAGCAACAACAACAGCAGCCTCAAAGCGGCGCCGCTCCGGCTGCCGTCGTGCCGGGCTTCTTTGATGCGGTTCCCCTGCGGCAAGGTGCCCTCCCGAATGTTGGACCACAGATGATCGGCACCGATTTTGGCAGTCAGGATCAGCTTCCAGGTCTCCTGGACCGTCTGAACATCAATCGGCCTGACCCCTTTGCGTTTGGTAGTCCGACATCTCTCACGGCCCGTCAGCCCGCCGAAAGCTTTCTGCATCAGCAGCAAGTGGCGACCATGCTTCAGGACCGTGCTCGTCTCCAACAAGAACAGGAACAGTTCGACAGCACCCAAGGTGATCGCCTCTTTGACCAACAGGCTCGGGAGGAGCGCTTGCGCCAGTTCCATGCTCTGCGAGCTCAGGACGGCGAATTTGGCATACGTAATGTCGAAGGTCTTCCGATCCACCCGTCGGCTCTGATCCTTGACGAGTCTCTTGAAATGGTCGACACCTCTGTCCAGGAATCAGACGACGCTGCGGCTGCTGCGGCTGCTGCCGCCGCCGCCGCCGCAGTGTTCTCCACCGCCCAAGCCGAAATCGAAGCGATGGAATCTATGGTCCCCGAGCCGGCGCTGACTCTCAGCCAACAGGTGCAGCAGGCGGCCTCTGCGCAGAAGCAGCAACAGGAGGAGCAGGAGGAAGAGGAGGAGCAGCAGCAGCAGCAGCAGAAGGCGCAGGAGCTGATGCTGCAGCATGCCCATGCCCAGGCCCAGGCTGCCGCCGCTGCCATGACCAGCGCCTGGAACGTCAAGGTTGATGCGGGCATGCCGCAACCCTTCCCCCCTCCACCCTCGGCCTCCCCGCTTCCTGCCCCCGCGGCTCAGCGCAATCGGTCCAACGTGGCGGAATCCCTGGCGGCCAATTCGCGCTCGCAATCGCAGACCCCCATCGAGACTCCTGCGACCTCGATCGCGCCGTGGGCCAAGGAAGCCAACGAAGTCCCCAAGGGCCCTTCGCTGAAGGAGATCCAGGAAGCCGAGGCCCGCAACGCCGCTCAGCGGGAGGAGCTGGCTGCCGCTGCTCGTCGCGCCCAATTGCTGGCGGAACAGGAACGCCTCAGCGCCCAGAGCCAGGTTCAGACCCCGGGCTTGCCCTCGACGGCCAACTGGGCCAGCGCCGGCTCGCCCGCCACGCCGACCCCGACCGGATCCGCCTGGAACACCAAGGGTCAGGCCGCCCCGGCCCCGGGTCCCGCCAAGAAGACCCTGGCCCAGATCCAGAAGGAGGAAGAGGCCCGTAAACAGCGTCTGGCCGCCGCGGCCGCTGCCGTGCAGGCTGCCGGTGTGAGCCCCGCCCTCACCCCTGGAGCCAAGCGGTACGCCGATCTTGCCAACAAGGCACCCGCGCCCGTCACCATGGCGGCCACCGCGGCCACCGCGACCTCTGGTGCTTGGACCACGGTTGGCGCCAGCGGCAAGGCGAAAGCCCCTCCCCCGGCCGTCGCGGCTCCTGCGCCTCCCGCCGGCCCTCGCTTGTCTAGCGGACCGGTACCAGTCAGTACCGCCGTGGCTGCTGCTGCTGCTGCGAAGCCCCGTCCGGCGGCCGTCACCCGTGCGGTGACCACCGGTGCTGTGCCCTCGACCAACCCGAACCGCGCCGTGGAGGAGTTTACCAAGTGGGCCAAGATGTCTCTCGGCAAAGGACTCAACAGCAGCATCAATGGTGGGCTTTTTTTTTTTTTTTTTTTTTTTTTTTTTTTTTTTTTTTCTCTTATGCTACAATGCGAATAAGAAAACAAGATATGCTAACGAATCAGTGGACGATTTTGTACAGCAACTGCTGCTCCTGCCTGCGGAAGCGGAGATCATCTCGGACTCTGTGTACGCCAACTCGCAGACGCTGGACGGCCGCCGGTTCGCCGAAGAATTCATCCGGCGGCGCAAGCTGGCGGACAAGGGGATTGTAGACCCGGTGTCGCCCAGCGCATTTGCCGACACGAAGAGCACCGGCGGATGGAGCGAGGTGGCCAAGAAGGGCTCGTCTAATACGCACCGCGAGGAGGACACGGCCAACGCGGCGTTCAAGGTGGTTGCGCCTCGCAAGAAGGGCAAGCGGTGATTGGATTACTTTAGAGTCGTTGGACTATTGGACTGTATTCTAAGTTCTTTGTTCTCGTACAAATGTACACTTGTAGTGTATACTCTCTGTATGACTGTCTATCTATCTAGATGACTCTTATCCTGGCGGTTTGAGTCACCGATAAGAAACCCCCCACGTCATATATTTAGATGTTTATTGTCTTGAATAAGACAGCCTTTAACTCATCCTCCACTTCCTCCTCTGCTTGTATTCACGCTGTACTTTAATGGCGAAAAGCACCTTTGGCGCTCCCATGCGGGAGCTGTTCCTGTTCGACCCCCAATACAAGAACCTCAACCACGGTAAGACCATGCTATTTCTTCTCTTTTAAGGATACAAGGATACAAGCTAATGGGAAGGCTCCTACGGAACATACCCTCGCGCCGTGCAGGCCGCGCTGCGCGGGTTCCAAGACGAGGCCGAAGCCCGAACAGACACGTTCATCCGGTACACGACGCCTCCAGCCCTGGACGCCTCGCGCACCGCGGTGGCGAAGATCCTCAACGTTCCACGGCGGGAATGCGTGTTCGTCAAGAACGCCACGACGGGCGTGAACACGGTGCTGCGGAACCTGCGGTTCTCCCCCGGCGACGTCCTCCTCTACTTTGATACCGTGTACGGCGCGGTCGAGATGGGCATCACCTCCCTGCGCGAGACGACGGAGAACCTCCTCGTCCGCAAGGTGGAGTATACGTTCCCCGTCTCGCATGGGCAACTGGTCCAGCAGTTCAGGGAGGTGATTGATGCTGTACGTCGCGACGGGCTGAACCCGCGGATTGCCCTGTTCGACGTCATTGTCAGTGTGCCGGGCGTGAGGTTCCCCTTTGAGGCTTTGACGGGCGTGTGTCGAGAGGAGGGGATCCTAAGCTTGATCGACGGGGCGCATGGGATCGGCCATATCCCTATTGATCTGGGGGTTCTGCAGCCTGATTTCTTCACGAGTAATTGTCATAAGTATACACCTCTGCTCTTACCATATTCTTACCATATTCTTTTTTTTTACTCTATCCTCTTGCTTATATGCTTAGATGGCTGTTCACCCCCCGTGGATGTGCAGTGCTGTACGTCGCTCAACGGAACCAGCATCTCATCCGCACCACTCTCCCAACCTCCTGGGGCTTCATCCCCGAGACCTCCGAGACAGGGGCGTCGGTCCCAGACGGAGAAAACACCCCCTTTGAGAAGCTGTTCGAGTTCGTCGCCACAACAGACGACACGGCGTACATGTGTGTCCCGGCGGCGGTCAAGTTTCGTGAAGAGCTCTGCGGCGGCGAGGACCAGATCACATCCTACATGGAATCCCTCGCTAGGGAGGGCGGCGATCTCGTCGCTGCCATCCTGGGCACCGAGGTCCTCCAGGAGACAGATCTGCAGCCGGGCGAGAAGAGCCAGCTGCGTCGGTGTGCGATGGCGAATATTCGCGTCCCCGTTGACATCGAGGATATCCCCGATGTGCCTGCTGCCTGTGCCTGGCTGCAGAAGACGCTCAACGACGAATACAATACCTTTGTGCCCTTTTATCCGCATGGGGGTGCGCTGTGGTTCCGCGTTTGTGCGCAGGTGTATTTGGAGAAATCGGATTTCCAGTGGCTGGGCGAGGTTTTGAAGGAGCTGGTCGCCAAGTTCAAGGGGAAGAAGGTTGACTTGCCTTTACGATGATAAGAGTAGAGTATAATCGTTCGTTATGTATTGAATATTGATATTCATATCCACATCTTCTCTATATCATCTTGTACTGTCTTAGCTAGCTCCTCCAAACCGACTCCGCATCCACCCTGTAATCCCCCCGCCGTTTCCATCCCGACTTGCCCGTCTTCCATCCTGCCCGTTCGAATCTCCCCATCCAGCGGGACGGTCATCCCGGTCGGTTGGCCAGCCGGGTCGTCCGTATATGTCGTACGGCCGGGCGCTGGATCGTCGTCGGGGCGGTGGTTCAGGGCTATCAGGGATGACGACGGGATTCCGTTGACTGCCCTCGGAGCTGAAAATTAGCTAAGATGTAAAATGAAACAGAATGTATATATATATATATATTACTTTTCGTTTATCCCCCGCCGGCAATGCGGACAGGTATTGTGTTGGTTTAGCCACATCTCAATACACGCTTCGTGGAACCAGTGCTTGCACGGCAGCACCGTCACTTCGGTGCCCAGCTCCACGGCGTCCATGCAGATGGAGCACTCGGCCTTGCCCTCGCTGCCCAGCATTTCCTCGTCGATCTTCTTCTTGGGCAGGGATCGGATGGCGGTCTCGGGAGCCGGCGGCGGGGCGGTGCCGTTCACGTTCTGGTCGATCAGCTGCGAAATCACCCGGTCCAGCTCCTCTTGCGAATAGACCGCATCTCCGTGTCGCTGGACGTTCAACAGGCTCGAGAGTATGGCCAGCGGGTTCGGGCCCGTCATGACGCGGACCCCGCCGCCTCGTACAGTCCCGTTCGACTCGAAATCTTGCCGGAACAGATCAAGAACACTGAGATGAGCACCGGTTACTACTGATGAACCAACATACTGGAAAAACACATACTCATTCAAGGTCCCCAATGCCGCCCCCATCGGCTGTGGTCCTTCTGTATCCCGAGGGTACAGCCGTCCGCCCGCGGCTGCATACTGCGGAGACGACTCCCGTCCACGCTCCTGTTGCAAAGGTGACGCCCCCCGACTCAACAGCGGGCTTCTAGCTTCCGGATGGTATGTGTCCGCCAGGCCATGGAAGATCGTGTCGAGGCTGCGGACCATGGGCAGCATCAATGGATCCCCGGTCATCATCCCTCGACCGGGAGGGAACCCGCCATTGTACGTAGTGCTAGTGAAGGTGAACCGCCCATCAGGAGATCGGTATGTGTGCCTACTGAATCCCGAACCTCTCGAGCCAGTCGATAGATACGGGTCGGTCTCGTGATCGTCTGCCCACGGGTTGTGATCTGCCAGCGTGTTGATCGGCGTCTGCTGCCGTCTCTCTTGTCGGGGCGGCGGGGTCAGGTTAATAGGTGAGGGGTCGGGGTGGGTTTCTTCCGGAGGAATCTCGATCTATATAAATTCAGCAGATGTAATAAGAAGAAATAAACAGAAGAAAAGAAAAAAAAAAAACATCCGTACTATCTCTGTGAATTCGGATCCGCACTGGGGACAGGTCAGGCCATGCTCGTTCCTCAGCCAGACGGCGTTGCAGGCGTGGCAGAACATCCGATCTTCACTTGTGTCGGCCATCTTTCGGTTCTGTTGCTGCTGCTGCTGCTCTTGCTTCGGGCGAGATGAGACTGACGCTAAGGGAGCAGAAACTTGTAGACGAAGGAGATTAGATGTGAAAGAAACAGCTAATAATAGTAGCCAGCTGAAAGGTCGCTCCGATCGGGCGCGTGTGGATATCGTTCGCTGCAGAGGTGGTCCAAAGTCATTGTTTCTTCACAACAGAGCTTCACCATCGCGACGAAGCAGAGGACGAGAGAAGCAGAGAATTCAGAACCACATACTGGATGTGTAGAAGACCAAGACTCGGGTGCAACGGGTGAGGTGGTGAGTGAGTGAGGGAGGAAAGGAGGGAGATGAGGGAAGACAGCCTGATCTGCCGAGGGCTCTCGTCCCGAATGACGTTTGCAGGTGATCTAAAGTGGCGCAGACACGTATGATTGTGTCCTCTTGTATCTACGGTAATTCCTACTCGATGAGTCGGCCTTGCAAACTATCAGAGTGTAATACACTTGCAATCGTAAGATTAAACAGTTCATAATTAATCTGGGTGAGCCGTCATCTGCGTGCTATGTAAACGTCCCACGAACAAAGAAACAACGCCAACAAATGCTACACCAAGAGAGATAACAGGTATGTACGGACAAGAAGAAAGAAAGGAAAAAAAAGAGAGACCTTCGCAGGGCTGAGATCCCCCCTATCTTTTCCTGGTTCCACGGAAGACAAGGCTGCCGACGACGCCTGCTGCAACAGCCAAGCCACCAATGATGGCAATGCCGACTAAGCCTTCCTTGGAGACCTTGTCGTCAATCAAAGATCGCAGGCTGCCCGCCTGCAGGTTCGCCGGCTCATGTTCGAGGAGCAGGTCGTTGTACCGTCGCGCCTCTCCATAGTTGCCGAGCTTGTAGTTCCCCAGCGCCAGGTAGTAGAGACATTCGCGTCGTCGCTCGGGGGCCGCACGGAAGATTTCTGATAGGAGACGCACGCCTTCTTGTTGCTCTGGACGGGCGTTTGACTTGATCAAGCCCTGGTAGGAATTAGAAGACAGCCCTTCCGGGAAAGACGATGCTGAGTGCTGGCTCATTCATACCCATGCATAGTTGAACTTGGTCTGGATGCCAACATAATCACCCTCCTTCTCGTATTGTGCTCTCAAGACCTGCAGCTCGGCCGGCCTCAGCGGGCTATCGACAAATATATATTAGACTCGATCGATCTCTGGTGGGTGTATACAGTATGGGCAACAAACCTTTCGGCATCTGCGGCATCTGTTCAGAGAAAAACAAGTCAGTAAGCTGGGGGGGAGGAAACAAAAAGAGCATAGCATCTGGTAGCATACAGGGCAGGTTGGATCCCATCTCACGGCAGTCTGCTAGTTCAGATCCCAATAAAACAGAGCAGCAGAGGGTAGGAATAATACTTTGTTTGGATGCTATCGGAAGAATCAAGATTCGAGTCTCATCGAGCGCTGCCTGTCGTCACCTGCACAGCCCCCAACACGTGGCGGTGCAGGCTGTGGCGGTTGCTCCCCCAACGCGTGTCAACAAGAAAGAAAGAAACGAGGGCGGTTTTGTTTGAGCTGAACGAGCGAGCCTTCTCCAGCTTATACGCGGTAATTTCAACTGATCATTCCAAAATGTTGCTCGACGAAGACCCTGCGACAGTAGGTTTTTTGCGTTTTCTGCGTTTATCGCGTTCGTTGAATGATAACTGATGAATGAATCCAGCTCATCCACCATACCGTGGGCAACTTCAACATCCAACCGGACAAGCAGGCCGTGACACGCATCAATGACTCGCTCTCTACCCTGCAGCAGTCTCGCGAACTGCGGATGCGCGAGGCCGAGTCCGCCCTGCGGAAGCTGTCGAGGAATCTAACGGCCATGTCGACGCAGTACGAGGAGGCAGTCGTGGCGCATGACTCGGCCAAACACGCTGCGGAGATCGTCGAGCTGGACACCAAGAAGTTCCGGATCGCGAAGACAGCGACAGAGCTGGAGATTGAGAGCGAGCGGCTCGAGAGCGAGCTGGAGATGCTCAAGGAGCGACTGGCTGATCTCGAGGCGCAGGGGTTAGAGGGTGACGAGCAGACAAGACGTGAGCGAGAGGCCGACGACGCCACCATGTAAGTCTTTCCGTTGTGTTGAAAAGGGAATTACTGTGTCTAATCTCCAGACTGCGGTTGAAAATCTTCCGATCGCTCGGCATCGACATCGAGGCCGACGACGCCGGCAACTTTACCAAAGCCGTGATTCGCAACAGTCGCAAGGGCGATGTCCACGTCGTTAACCTTGACTCCAAGTTCTCGCGCTTTTTCTACGCAAATTACTTCTGGTCAACCATGCAAGGTTGACTTTGGATATATCGTGTGTGATGTCGTGGTGTTACATTTTGCTGGCTGAGGCGTTGAGGACGGATTAGTGTGGTGGAAACTGATTTCTACGAGATATACCCTTATGCATTATGAATCTTTGTTTTTCACTCAAGCCCATTAGATCTCATCTGCTCCAGGATCTTAGACCTCTCGACCTTTCCTGGAGAGATCCCATCGATATGTGTTAGGTCAGGGTATGCGTCTTCTAGAATATCGAGCAGTCTATGCTTGCTTGCCTCGGGCATGCCGGCGTCATCTTCCTGCCACCGCGAGACCCATTCCGCCTCTCGCCGAGCCATGACCGCCTCCACCTGGTCCATGTGCGGCAAGTCATCGCCATCCCAAGTCAAAGCCAGGCGCTTTGTCTCGGGGTGCGCCGCTTCCGAAGAATCATCTGCAGTGTAGCGGGCCTCGACGCCCAATCCCCCCAGCCCCAGCTCCTCGACATGCCTGTTCCATAGTGCCTGGCGTAGTGTGCCGTCCTGGGCCATCATCATCCAAAGCAGCGGATACGTACTCCTCGCCATCGCGTCCCGAACCCCCTTGGTGGCTTCGCGCGGGCTCACCAGCACGCCTACCGTCTCACGCGTTCGCCAACCCAAGGGCGAGCCACGGAACGCGCCCTCGAGCTCGCGCACAAGATTCGGCCCCAGTTTCGTCTTGAACGCTTTGCACTGCACAATCACCCGGATCGGTGTCCGGGGTTCCAGCCGCGGAATGTGCCAGGTGCCCACGAGGTCGATGCCTGCATCGTCGCGCCCGCCAACCCGGTGTAGCGTGAAGGCAAACCGCCGTAGACTCTGCAGAACACTGTATTCGTACTCGGTCCCGATATACGTCGTGCTCGTGGTAGGTAGCGCTGTCCGCTCCGCGTAGGCCAGGAACGAGGCCAGGTCGGTATGGTGGAGAGACGGCGGCGAGGGCGCAGCCGGCAGCTGGAAGAGACGTCGTGTGAAGGGACTCAGGGCATTCTGGGCGCGGGATTGTGAGAATTGCCGACGAACGACACGGTGGAGAATCGAGGGTGTGAAGAGAGTGCGTTGCATGTCAGCCTTCAAGTTGAGGTGTAGCTTTTCGTTTTGTCTAGAATCTTACCGCCTCCGCAACAACGAGATAAGGATGTCTACATTCTAGTCTATTTATTCTACCTGCTATAAGGAGCTGCTCATAAGCTATCATCATGGCAGATATCCTGACTCAGCTGCAAACATGTCTTGACCAGGTGCGTATCCCATTCAAATTCGATCTCCTCAAGAATCAAGAGTTAACCAACACCAGCTCGCAACCCAATTCTACGCCACCCTGAGCTACCTCACCACCTACCATGACAACTCGCCCGCCACGCCGCCGTCAAATACACCCAACGCGGCGCCTGCTCTAGCGAAGATCCCTAAGAACTCAACCGCGCCGCCCGTGCCTGCCTCGGCGCCCGTCCTGGAACCAGAGACCCCGGCTCCAGCGCCAGCACAACTACCACAGGGGGACGCACACCAGGGAAAAGATACACCGGGAGGACCAGCAGGAGCAGGGGCAGGAGCAGGAGTCGATCCGGCTCTACCCCCCGCACCAGACTCGCCGCGCACATTCGCCCGGCGGCAGCGGGAGCTCGCCCGCGACCTGATCATTAAGGAGCAGCAGATCGAATACCTGATCTCTGTGCTGCCGGGGATCGGCTCGTCCGAGACAGAGCAGGAGGCGCGCATCCGTGAGCTGGAAAAGGACTTGAGGGCTGCGGAGGCCGAGCGCGAGAGTAAAGCGCAGGGACTCAAGGTGCTCCGGAAGAGGTTGGAGAATGTGCTCGGGGCCGTCGAGGTGGGCATTTACGGGGATAGAGAAATATCCCTTTCCTAGTTTTAGTAGGTAGACTGTATGAACTCATGATTGCATTGAAGATTATCTAAATAGTAGTTCTCTAAGCTGGATTAGGCGGCTCAGGGTTGCCCGGTAAAGTATATCAAACTGCTCGAAAGATGACTGAAGGGATAGAGCGTAAGCTCGCATTCTATGCCTGGTAACTGGAGTGTAAGTGGCCCCTTTGAGGTGTAGACACTAAATATTAACTGAGAATAAAAAAAAAAGAAAAAGAAAAAGCAATAAAAAGGTATGATGAATCGGGTATCAGATGAAGCTGGAAGAATATCAAATGCCCAACGCCAGCCGTCTTGTAATCTGCATATATCCGCGCCAGGTTTCACACGGTAAAAAGAAAAGAAAAAAAAAACCAAAAGGGGAGGAAGGGAGAAGATGAAAATGGTGATTAGCTTGGAAAGTTACTTGAAAAGACTGCGATATTCCCTCATGCGCTGCTCCTGGACTTCCTTGCGGTCCAGTTTGCCCCGATTCATGCTCATGTCGGCTAGCTGTTGCTTTTTCTTGGCCAGCTCGAAGATCTTTTCCTCGATGCTGCTCTTCATGATGAACTGTACGATGGAAACCTCGCGCGTTTGCCCTAGGCGATGGACGCGATCTACCGCCTGGGCCACGGCCGCAGGGTTGTACTGCGGCTCCATCACATACACTTGGGAGGCGGAGGTCAGGTTGAGACCGACGCCGCCGGCCCCAATGGTTGCTAGAAGGACCACCACGCTGTCGTCATCGCGAAATATCTGCAGAGCATTGTTGCGGGCTGCGAGGGACATGGTGCCGTCCAGACGGGTGTACCCCGTGATGCCGTTGTCTCGTAGGGCGATCTCGATAAGGTCGAGATGTGATGTCCATGCAGAAAAGACCACGCTTTTGATCGGGGGTTCGCTGTTTTCTTTCAGGATCTTGGTCTGCTCGGCGGCTTGCAGAAGGTGATCGATGAGCGCCCTTGTCTTGGTATGCGGGCCCTCATAGTCCCCTAGGGTCTTGCCTTGCTTGCGAGTTTGCTTGGCCTCGGCTTGCTCGACCAGGTATTTCTTTAAGCCAGCGGGAGTGATAGTGGAATATGCCATCGGGATCCACCCCTCACATGCCTGGCATTTAACCTCTGAGCCGGCCTGAGTATCGAAGGCTTGCTGCCAGCCCGAAAAACAGTCCAGACAGAGAACGTCGAAGCATGGCAGCATGATGGCCATGACTGCCTTCCTGTCGGCCGCATCGTTGCCTGTATCCGGTTCTTCAAGCCGTTTGCCACAGAGCGCACACGAGTCCCCGGCCGAATTCTGCATCAAAGTGAACATTTCATATGCCTTCCTATCGGTCGCCGCCGCGGTCGGATCATTGTTTCCCTCTTCCAGGTCAATGGCATCCTGGACGCTCAGCCCTTTGATACGTTCTCGGTCGTCCCTGTCTAGAAGTTCCTTGCCATGGGCACTGACCTGCCGAAGTATCATCATGGCCTTGAGAACATGATGATACATACGGCCACCGATCTTCGACTTGCTTTCGCCGGCAATCACGTTCATCATCATGTTCGACTCTTTCCGGAAGAACTCGTGCAGCTGCTGCTCTTCATCTGTGAAAGTCAGGCTGATAATTTGGTCATGACGAGGAGGCAAGTCGATTGTGTCCTTGACCCGTCGCAGCGTGAACGAGTCCACGAGCACACGTAAGCTGGCTAGCACGCTCGGATCCCCGGTCTTGAATCTGCTGAGGATATGAGCGCCGAAGCGACTTCGGTCATCGTAAGGGAAGAGGCTCAGAAACTTGGTCACCGACAACAGATCCTCCAGGCGGTTTTGGATCGGCGTGCCCGTGACCGACCAGCGGCGCTGGGCATTGAGTTTGAAGATGGCCTGCGTCTGAGCAGCACTTTGCTCTCGGATCGTATGCGCTTCATCCAACACGATCCGAAACATGTTCATCTTAGTCAAGGGGCTTACGCCGCGCTTGGTGCCTCGTCCGGATAACTCGCTCAGAACGATGCTGTAAGTTGTGATGACCAAGTCAAAACGAGACAACTCTTCGACGTCAGTCGTCCTAGAAGAACCATGAAAAACGTTGTATGAGAGGCTGTCCTCCCGAAGATGTTCCTTGATCTGTGCCACCCAGTTGTTGACAGTGCTTAGGGGGACGACCAGAAGCGTCGTTCTGGTGTTGCGGATCCCTGGCTGGCTATGGACCAGATCCTGATGGGGTACCATGTTCTCCCATTCGCGCGATTGCTGAATGGAGGAAACAACGAGGGAGAGAATGCTCAACGTCTTCCCCAGGCCCATCATATCTGCCAATAGACCGCCTAAGGTCTGTGGTGGCTCTTCGTCCACAACCGTACCGCTAATGACCTCCCGGTACTGTTTGCGGCCGTTGGCACGATAATGGATTCTCCAAAGCGAATTGTTATCTTCCTCCTTTGGACCGAATCTACGAGGTTTTTCCTTCTCCGACATAAACCACAGGGCCTGTTTTTGATGCCGAAGCAATGGCGTCTGGACAGACGCGGGTGGCTCCATCTCGGGGAGGTTGTCAGCAGTCCTCAGCTGGTCGAACATCTTCATGACTGCATCATTGACTTCCTCGGCCGTGCGAATTTCGTAGTTGATGCCAAGTCGTCCACGAGGACCGCCGACTGGTGCAAAATTTGCCTGAGCCCGCCTTTTCTCTGCATGGGGATTGAACACGGGCACTCCCGGCTCGACAGAGTTTGGAGTGCCCAGCCAGACATTATGCTGTCCCAAATGTTTGCCGATAAGTTCTGCGTCCTTGCGCAGGCCATAGAGATTGATTGAAGCGCGGTACAACGCAGAGCAATGGCCCCACGGTTCCTCACCTGGAAGTCGCTTGCGAACATCCAGCCGTGCAGTTAGATCAACCTTCAAAGCAGGAAAATCGAGAAGTGGAGCAATAGCCGTGGCGGTCTTTGCATCAATGGCCCCAAACACCTTTGTATTCGGATCCGAGACCGCGATCCTGTTGCCTGGACCTGATTGGCGGTGCACCGCCAGTTTCATCGAAGGCCAGTCGTGTTTTGAATCGGAGAAGATACTCTTTGCAGAAGGCTTCGGGACAAAATGCGCTTGGATCATGGCATTTTCAAGTTTCCCATAGCAGACTCTCTGGTGGCTGAGATTATTGGCACCTGTAACCTGCAAGTCATCATCATTGCTTGAATGGCTGGGTGTTTCTATGCATTCCATAATCAGAAAAAGAAATCTCCTCTCATCAATCCTTGGTGTCATCGACTCACCGATAGTCAAATCCACGATGTCAGGTGTTGCTGGAGACGAGGTGTCGGAAACTCCTTGTTCACTTTTCATCCACTTTCCTAGTCCATTGTTCTCATGCGGGTGAAAACTCGACTTCTTCGTCGAGTTCTGGTTGTGGTCCATTTTCAGCCGTTTGCGCATATGGTTCCCCCGCCTCTCCACGTTGTACATGTCCTCTATGAAGCTCCCGTGCTGCGACTCGTTAAAGGCATTTAGATACTCGGAGCTCCGCTTTGCATCGTTTCCAGACTCCTCCTGAGGGCTCGCAAACCGAAACTCTATGCCCGACCCGGCCTCCATCTTGTTTTGCTGCCCTGAGCGGTCGATTCTCGAGCTGGCCGTTTCAGCACGCGGCGAGGGCTTCATTCGGTTCGCCGAGGGGGTGCCGTCACGTCGAGGGTTCAATAGGCGATGCGCTATGGACAATGTACCTGCTGGCGTAGCGACATTTGCAGCGCCAGCCTGTGGCGAATCGCTCGAGTCCTGGGTCCTGGGGTCTTCAACGTGTGAGTTAGAGAAAAAATCCTCGAAGCCAGTGGGATCATCAGGAGGCGAAGGGCAGTTAAATAGGGACTGGGAGATGAACGGATACACGCAAGAGGAAGCAGATGCTTCAACTGGGTCCGCAGTCAAGGATCGAGCAAGGAAATCTGAGCCGTTACCATTTGCGCGAAACTGCCGCTTGTAGTTCCGCGGATCCAAGAGCATTGCAGCATCAGAAACCATCTTGATCTGAGCAATCAAAAAATCCGGGTATCGCGAAACGGTTCCAAGCCGGGGTCTGGAATCTGAGAAGTAAGTGAGAGGTGAAGGTGAGCGGTTTCGTGAGCAGGAATCAAGGAAGGGGGATCGTGGGATATAAATGGGTTCGTGGAGTCGGCCAGACAATACCGCAGACTGGGAGGCCAGCCGCAGAAAGGACACACATGCGGCGGGTTCCAGAAACAGCGCAACGAGCGCAGGGTACGTCTTCAACGAGAGCCTCTGGCCTGCTGGGAAGGAGGAGGGGTTTCATGACGCATGAAGCCCTCGAGCAGATCTATCGCAGTCGCCAAGACTGATAAGAGAGGGTCGCCTGCTTATCTAATATAGGTCACATGCGCGTGTCATGTGAGAGTAAAATACTCCGTCGGTATCAGTACGGTATTATTGGTATCGAGGTAAATATGGTGACTAAGCGAGGTATAAACAATGCACTTATTTCTCTCTATGCTATTCAAAGCATCACTGAGCACCATTCTTCCACCGTCGTTCTCAAATGCGTCCATACCCCCCCTTGTTGCTTGTAATTCCCAATAGCGGAAACCCCTTCTGGCGCGGGCTGGGACGTCTTGGGAGGAAGAGGGGTATCGTTTCTAATGGCAAATGCTTCCCAGTCTGAATCCCTGGTGAAATAGTCTAATGTGGTCATGATGAAGCAGAAGGGGGAAAGACTTCAACGGAGAAGTATGCTGGGAACAGCAAGTGAAATAGTTGTCTACTGATAGATTAGATTGTGAAATGATTAAAATGATGAGCAGGGGTATAGTGATACCACCTAACGTCAACTCTGCGGAGTCCGGTAAGGTATAGAAGCTATAGCCTTTAAGTTAGGTGGTAGGCATGGTACGGAGTACTGAGGGCTTAGATTAGCAGTTACCCTGGTTGTTGACGATTGTAGTGATATTCAGAGGTCCTATTAGTAGAAACTAGGATATCAAACTGCTCTATTATCTATTGAAAAGTAGGAACTTGGTACAAAGTTGATCTTGGTGGTGGAATGACACTGGAGAAGTATTTCATTATATACAGAACATCTAATATTACCCAGGGGTGGAGGTGTATTCCCGCAGAAATTAAACTGTCATCTAACCCGCTGATCAACATAAAATAAAGAAGAGAGGGTGAACAAAAGAAAAGGAAGAAGAAGAGGAGGAGGAGGAGGAGGAGGAGGAGGAGGAGGAAGGGGGTGCTCTAGCACCAGGTAAATACAGGGTTTTTGCTCTTGACAGCTTCGAGTCGTTCCACAATCACTTTGCGCTGGTTGCCTTCCATGCCTTCGGCGGCTGCGTAGCCGAGATCGCCCTCAAGATCATCTCCACCGAAGGCGAAGCCGCTGTTACGACGATCGGCGGTCAAGGAGCCGCGCCTGGGTGCGCCATTCGGGTCGGTATGGTGGGACGTCGGCCGCGGAGGTAGGGTGGCCCAGCTGCGGTCTAAACCTCCTTTTCTAGAGGAGGCGATTTCGCCGAGACTTCCATGGCCATAGTCACGGCCATCGAGCGTGGCAGGACTGCCCGCGCCTTCTCTAGATCTGTGGAATTCATTCGAGGTGCGACTTTTGGACAACTCAAACCGATTCGGGTTCGGAAGCTCGCTTGCAGGAGATCCCAGACCCAAGAGGTCGTGGTCGGACCCGGGGTGGGAATAGGTGGCAGCGCCTATATCCATCTCCTCATCGTCAGAACCATAGTTGCGCAATTTGCGCCGTTGCATCTCCGTCGACGGAACGCGAAGAGGGATTGCAACGGGTACATCGACCAGGTCGTCCCAGACGCAGACTCGCGCCCTTCTCGTCAGTTCCAGCGGACCGTGGTCGGGCTGCTTCAAGGTCTCGACCACGTTCCACGCCTGGCCCTTCATGACGGCGATCTGGCGTGCAAACATGCTCTCTTTGAAATCGTCATCTTGGGCGAAGACACGGCGCAGTGCCATCTGGGTGCCGCTCCACCACGCTGTCGATGTCAGCAATGGTAAGAAGTGGTCTCTGGTTTTCTGCGAGAAGGGTTGTCCGATGAGAGATACAGGTAGGAAGAGCCAACCAAAGGGGAAACTACGCCACTAAAGTAGAGAAAAAGAGATTAGTAAAAAGAACCGATCAGTATACAACATAGGGGGGGCGGCAGTAACTTACGGCATCCGGATGCTTCCAAGGCCACGACAAACTGTTATCAATGGCTCCGATCTTGATCGAAGTCGTGCGCGCAGCTGGACCATTTAGTGGCGTTCCGCTGCGGCTCACCGCCGTCATGGTCTCACGTCTCCTGTAGGGATAAGAAGCGGTTGGGTTTCGATCGGAATTCACAGACACAGGTCGAGCAGGGGGGGTATTTTCGTCGTCTTCATACGAGGGACTGGTCGACTTGGGGGGTTCGGCGATCAAGGACACCTCTTCCGTCTGCGAATCAATCTTGATCATCCAGTTGTCCAGCCCACGATCTGTATTTCTCATGATATAGTCTAGGATCACTAGTTTCTCTAGCTCCTCCCGGAAGGCCTGCCTTATGTTGTCCGTCCACTGGAAACGTCGCTCCGTGCTCTCGTCTCTGGGGTTTGGTGTGGAAGCGTGTCCGTTTGTATCTTCGTCTTCGTCGTCCGAATGGGCACCTGACGGACGACATGTCTCGTTCCACGGCCGCTTCTTTCGTTTTGGCGCATCCTCTGCCCGGAATCCACTGTTGATCTGATCGGGCCAGGGATGCTCCCGGAGAAAGATGTTGGCGTCTTTGTAACCCTTGAGAAAGACCTGGAAACTGCCCACTTTCGGTGGCAGGGGTTTCTTCCCCATCCACGCCTTCCTCTTGTCCCAGAAATCATAAAAGAATGACTTGGATGACAGCCAGACGATGTCAGTGTATGGGACGAGATTGGTGCGTAGACGAGAGTCAAGAACGTATGCAGCGGCTTCGGAGACGTAGGAAAGGTTCGGGATGAGGCACGCTCGACCGAAACAGCATGGAAACAGGTTCCGATGTAGCCATTTGGTCCACTTGGGGTTTCGCGACGCGTAGGGCTCTTCATCCTTTGGTTTGAAGACACCCACAACCTTACCATCGCTGTTTCGCGCAAAATAACTCCCGGAGCTGCCCTGAGTGATCATGCGGGGATGGATGCCCAGCTCAATGGCGAGGCGAACGCTCTCGACAGTCGCCTCAAACTCCGCTTGCGCTCTGCGCTGAGCACCCTCGATCTCGTCAGAATCCAGAACCTCCGCAGTGATGGGTCTGACCCCATCCGGCGGCTGGAAGACCGAGTGGTAGATCTCTAGCTTCTCCTCTTCGTATGTCTTCCCCTTGACCCGTGAGATCTTGAACTTAGAGGCGATTTCTTCCGCCCACCGCTCGAGACGAGCGTTGATGGCTTTGATATCGACCCCCGAGTTCCTGCGCCCTCGCCGATGCTGATATCCACTATGTCGACGCCGGTGGCCTGGCGGCGAGACGAGGCCGGCGGCGGGCATCTGGCCCCTAGCGGAGACCGGAGCATACCGAGGGGCGGACTGGGAGAGCGTATGGGGGGCGGCGTAAATGTCGTCTTCGTCGGAGGATTCGTACAGATCGTGACCACGGTCTTCCTCTTCTTGAGCAAGACGGGCGTACCCGGACGTGGCAGGTCGATGTTTTGGCATGGCGGAGGCAAAGCAGTAACTTCTAGCACAGGAAACGTAATAAACAGAAGCAAAGAAAGAAATTATATTTATTCAGATGTCGTATGCAGCAATCATTCAGTCCATCGCCGGGCGAATGAGCAGCGCAGAGCAGTCCAATCTATCCCTGTCACCGAAACTCGTGTCGCGGGAGGCATTAACAGCTGGTAAAACCGCGCTGTCATCATCGTCCAAAGGGATTCCTCCACAGCCAGGGACTCCAGCCACAGACCCGGAGAAACAGATCCGCCGGTGAATGCACCGCCACAGCCAGTCGGAGCTGCTCCTCGACAGCGCTCAAGGGTTCCACAGCCAAATCCACTCCAGGCAGAGCTTAAACCCGTCGACTGGGGCAGTCAAAGAGCCCCTGAACTTCTCCTGAATGATGGGAAAAGGGAGCCGAGGGCTGAATCAGTGAGCGAGTGTCCCGGAAGAGGCTGGATTGACAGGCTGTTATCTCACGGCGGTCATTATGAAGGGTAACAAAGGAGTACCCCTTAAGCAGCTGATTGATTTTCTTCATTTTATCTACTCCGTACTCTAGTTATCTGCTAACTGATAAGGAAAAATTTTAGATCACTCGTTTCAGCAAAGGAAACTACATTGACGGGTGTAGTAGTTGCCGGTACCCACGAGGTAACCGATGAGAGACTCTCGCGCCATAATCAGAATAATGAACTGAACCAGACGTTTATTACTCATTGTTACTGTCCTCGTCTCCCAGACAGCCAGAATCTCGTGTCTTTATAGTGTGGAATTCAATGAAGTTAAAAGGCCTGATAAGTGCTGGCCATATTCGTGCAACACAAGACAGGTGCTGGATAGTATCCTTGAAAATGGGTCACCTATACAATTGTGGAGTATAGATTCTGCCTACGATACTTCATACAGCAATCCATGTTTAATGATCAAGGCAGGCATCATTAAACGCGGTCTAGCTAGATTGTTGATTTCTATTTTACTGGTTATTTATAAACCCAGGAAAGACGAGACTACCTATACTCCAGAGAAACTCTATATAGCACGAATTCTCAGTGAGATGAAATATAACTGGCTATCATGCAATAATGGGTGATGACTCCCAGTGTGAGGTCCTCCCACTGTACTCCGTACTCTGTAATGAACGATATACATCTAGATTCAAGTAGCTGGAAATCGAAGACACTCCATACCTATATACTCCGTGCTCGGCACGTCTCGATAACCGAATAATTAAGGGGGAATGTAGGGGCGTCGCGATAACTCAGATTCCCTGCGTGTTGCATAGAGCCGAGAGGCAGGGGATCATCAACGTTTGTAGAATTCCATCGCTAAAGTAGACCAACGACAGGCTCGAGGAATTTCTGAGTAGCCCGCACGGCTCTTACGCCAGCCGCCAGATATTATTATTGCTAGATTAGCATTTGGGGGTTGTCGGATCGTCTGATAAAATCGATAGTCTCTGAAAACGCGTGCGATAGCAGTCCCGATAATCTATCACACAGGGCAGGCTTCTCTTCCTCGCACCTCCTCCAATCTCGTGTCCCGATAAAACAACTTCTTCAAACCACCTTTGCAGTGCTGTATGCGTGGTTCAACGGACCTGGTGTTTTCTCTGTTTTTATTGTCATCAGTCGCTCCTTATTGTCGCGTCGCCTCGGGCTCTGTTCGTCCAAAGTCAGCGTGATTTAAAAAGATTGTTCGCTCTTTTTCCTCATCTGGATTTGATCAAGTACGTATGAATGAATTGACTGGAAAGGAGGACGCCTATCGTGTCCGAATCGCTCGTTCTGTTACTGATTGAAAAGCCAGGACAATTTAGAGTCGCTGCCCATATTACCCTGTACCCGTCGAAGTCGTCTGCGTCTAATAAACGACGAACGTCAAATCTCTCTTCCCTTACCCTCCAACTCGCGTTCACCTCCGTCTTGGGTTCGGTCTTCATCGGCCGGATTTCCAGCACACGTCACCACGGCTTCCACGGTGGCTTCCGTTCTCTACCGGGCGTCGCCCATCGATCCGTCGCTGCAGCCCACCTCCTCTTCGATCCCGCCGAGCCACAGTCTCCCGGACTATAAACCTGCGATATCCCCCATTGAGACCGAATCTGCCTCACGGCCATTAGATTTGGATCGTACCCCAAGCGGTCTGACGCCGCCGTATCATAGTGGTGCTCTCCCGGGACTGAGCAGTCTAGAGAAGAGTGATACCACCACTACTACTACTACTACCAGCAGCAGCAGCTTCCTGTCTACCTCCCTCTCGCCGTCGCTGTCCGGCCTGTCAGCGCTTGCATCGGTTGCGTCCGCGCCTACTTCCAATCTACGGTGTGTACCTGCCCCTCTCCCTCGCAGAACGGAACAGCTCCCGAATTTTGGCACTGCCACAACTCGTGCAGGGGCTGACCCGAATATTACGTGTCCAGAACTTCCAGCAGCGATGCAAATCTGAGCATGGCGAACCTGAGTTATGCGACATCGTCTCCTGCCGCCACCACTGGCGGGCAGGGGAATAATCCGGTACGTTCGAGTCTGTAGCCCTGTGTCTTGCTTCCCATCCGGTTTTTATCCCTTATCGCTGCGGTGTGGCCTTATCGACGCTGCTGGTCGTCGGCCTCCTCTCACGGCCTGCTGTTATCAGTGCAGCGCCGGCCGGGTCTTGGCGCCGGCGCTTTTTGTGCCTACCCGCGCACCACCCGCTTCTCAGATCCTTATCATCAAATCTCTCCAGATCTTATCAACATCGCACATCCACCCTTCCATCCACTATCAGCCCTCTCTTCCCTCTCATTTCCTGCTGCAAACCTGCCTGTGCTGTCCTGAGCCCGCTGCGATAACATGGCGACCGTGTTAGCTGACCAGAAGCGATCCCAATTACAGCCCGTCTGCCAGAATTGCGGCACCTCGACCACTCCCCTCTGGCGCAGAGATGAACTCGGCTCTGTCCTGTGCAATGCCTGTGGTCTTTTCTTGAAGCTGCATGGCCGTCCGCGTCCGATAAGCTTGAAGACAGATGTGATCAAGAGCCGTAATAGGGTGAAGACTGCCGGGCAAGGTGCCAAGCGCAAGGTCAGTTAAATTCGGTTCTTCCCCCCCCCCCCCAAAAACTTTTTTCCATCTCCGTTTCTTTCTTCTCTTGTCATCACGCTGACCCACTGTTCTTTGTATTCTTCTTCGACTACAGTCTAGTGGCACTATTGAAGCGAATGGTCTGTCTGCCGCACGGTCGGAGGCCGGCACCCCGCCTCTGGGATCCCACGGGTATCGCCGACCGTCACGGAAGGCCTCGCCCGGTCATTCGGACCGTTCCAACTCCCCCATCTCCCGGACGGAAACCCCTGGCCTGTCCGCGATGCAACAGCATAACTCCAACATTGCTCCGCAGCATATGTTCGATAGTGTGACGCTGACCGACCACGTGTTGAACCCGCCCAACACCCTGCCTGCCCTGCAGCTGCACCAGCCGTCTCCTTCCTCCAACACCGTGGTCGATCGTCATCTCGAGGCGCCCCAGACATACGAGGGCCTGTTGGCGGCCAATACATCTCTCAAAACGCGCGTGAACGAGCTGGAACTGATCAATGGGCTGTTCCGCGGCCGCGTCACGGAGCTGGAGCAGAGTGATGCCACCGCGCGCCGATCAGAGATGATCGTGCGAGATTCTGAGGCCCGCCTTCGCCGCTCCCTAGAAGACGCTCATCGTCGTGAAGAAGACCTCAAACGCCGTATAGCCGAGTTGGAACGCCAGCTGGCCACCCGTTCGTCCGTGGGGGGCTCTGCCAGTCTCGATAGCCCCAACCACGAGCCCCAGTCCAAAAAGATCAAGCTGTCCGATGTAGTGGATAGCTCCTCTGCTTCTCCGACAAAGTCACCCAAGAGCATCTAGCTCCCTCACAAAGTCTGTTGAGCAAGTTGGGATGGTATTGACACCCGACGTGTGTAATTTCATTCTCCTCAAGGAAACGAGACTATATAGGAGAGGGGGGTTTTTTTTTTATAAAAAAGAAAAAGAAAAAGAGAGAGAATTACACACGCAATCAATCCCCTCCGTTCGACCGACTCTTATCTGATCCCAATGGATCATTTTGATACCCTTAACGACCCTTGCCTCTTGGCCGGAAATGAAGTGGAGTACTCTTAATACCTTGTGTGTTGTTGTATGTGTCGGTGTGTGTGTTGTGTTGGCTTGGCTTGCCCTCGGAACTGAAATAATACTCCATCCATATAACTCTTATGACTGGTTGGAATCTGCCTATCTGCTGTTCTATGTCTTTTGTCTATTCTATTTTTTATTTTTTGTCTGTCTGCCTCTGTTTGTGTGTACAACTTGAAATCAAATCTTTTTTCTTTCTCACTTCCCCAGCAAATTAACCAGACAAACCATCAGAAAGAGGTGGAAAAAGTGTCTTCTCCTTCTATGTGTTGACCTTTCTTTTGTTGATTCAGATTCCCTTTATTCTTTTATGCTTTCCTTTCTTGTCTCGCTCGAGTCTTGTCCTTCCATGCCAAGAGCTGAAGCAAGCAGATTTGATATAGAAAGGGCCGGATTGGACGAGTATATCTAAGTAGTCCCTAGGCATCTTTTATGGACGCAGTCTTGCTGGATAATGGTACAGCAATGCTATTTTCTAGTCTTAACATCTATGGTTACTATTCGTAGTGGAAAACTACTTTTATGAAAAAAATTAAATGCATGGTTTCAACGAGAAATCATTTCTTGTCTATGACTATCAGTAGACTAAGAGAGGCAAATCTTGAAATAACCAAGTTAAGACATCTAATGACAAGGGGGAAAAAAAAGAGATTTTAGGAAAGAGAAGAAAATCTAGTTGGAATGAGTTGAATAAAACGAAAAGGAAAAAAAAAAGAATGTAAAAAAAGATGAGAACTCCTTAGAGAGAGAAGATATGAAAAGAAAGAAAAAAAAGAAAAAAACTTCAGGCAAGACGGTCATGTTCAACCTTCTTCTGAAAGTGGCCATGGGCCTGGTTATCTTTATAGATGCTCCAGATACAGACTACTATTCCCGCCATGCCGGAAACCATGGTCGTGTAGTAGGCAGTCTGGTAGCACTGCAGCCCGTCGGGGCAGTCGCGGGATCCCTCGGGGGTGATCACAGAGTGGGCATCGTAGATGTGGCCGTAGATGAGGTTGAAGATGTTGCCACTCAGCACGGGGGCCAGGATCATGACTCCCCAGTTCTGGGACAGGCCGCCGATGCCGAAGGTCTGGGCCGTCAGCGAGGGAAAGACGCCGAACAGAAAGCCATAGGCCACTCCCGTGAAGCCCGACACAAGAACCAGCGTGTGTGGGTTGGAGATGGACGAGCCGGCGAGCTGGGTTAGAGTGAAGACGACGGCGGAAATGAGCAGGCACCAGAAGCGCGACATGTGGAGCTTCTGAACGAGGATATCAGAGCCAATACCTAGAAAGATACTGAATTAGAATATTCCCAAAAAAGAAGAAGAAAAAAGGGCAGACATTCGATGGCAAAAGGGGAACCCACCACTCAGTAGGCGACCTGAGAAGTTGCCAATCGACAAGATCGAAACGTGCATCACCTGCTGCTGCTGGATAAACTTTGGGGTAACGCTGTCATCGTAGTACTTCCAAAGTGCCTTGGCCTGGAAAGAAAAATCGGTCAGTTTTTGTAAACGCCCAATCCTTCGAGTGATATCGTGTCCTTACACTGTTGCCAATGTTGCTAGTACGAAAGTCAGTACAAGAGGTCCGATTTCAGGGTGATTTCAAGGGTCTTTCTTGGTGGACGTACTTGATGGTCATCAATCCAAGACCGGACAAAAGCGCCATCATGGCGAACAGCTGCCAGAACTGCGGTTTCCACAACATGGCCAAGCCTCTGATATCTAAATGCGGTGAGTCGACGTCAACATCAGAAAGACCTCCCAGCGTGTCTTCAGAGGGTCTCGAGTCCGCTTTAGAGACCAAAGACGAAGTCTCATCGATATCATTCTCGGGATTGACAACAGGGCGATGCTGCGAGACTTGGGACCCTGAGCGGGCGTGCGCCGGGGATGACTGTTGAAAAGCTGAACTCTGCATACCTGCTTCCTCAGACGCATCGTGAATAGTTTGAAACTCGGAGGATCCGGCCGGTCGTAGTCGCCTGGATTCAGTCCGGTCTCCATCGGAGGGGTAGTGTGACAGCGTATGGTACGATTCCGGGGAAGGAAAGATGCGCAGGAACGGAACCGATAGGAGCGTCAACGTGAAGGTGCCAATAGTCAGTAACAAGAGAAACTGGGCGGTGTCATCTTTGAAAGCGATGGCCGATAGGGTGGACCAGAAGAAGGCGCTCAATCCGAACGCCGCCAGAGGGAAAGCAGTCGCAGTGCCCCGGTGACTGGGGAAGTTCGACGCGGCTTGTAATAGGGTCAATTTGGGGGGGTCCGCCTTGGCTTTTCATTGAAGAGTCTAGGAGGGAAACATACCAACTTTGATAGCGGCCGAGAAGGCCGAGCAGCCTCCTAGACCGCTTAGAAAGGCGAAAAAGGATAACAAGAAAGTCCCGAGAAATCCCTCCCCGTTCACATATGCTGTTTCGTGGGAAGAATGTTAGTTCGTCCGTCCTAGGTCCTTCACCGTCGCCATCCTCGATTCTGTTGCAACGGACCTTTATATATAGGATAGTACCCGATTCCAAGGGAAAACGCGCCGATCAGCGACGTCAGGCGGGGGCCATGAGTATCTGTCAGCAATCCCAGCGGGAATCCCGATCCATACATTCCCAGGTTTGCAGCCGCACCCTAGAGTTGGTTGATCAGCGATATGTCTGATATCCCACCGGGACAGGAAGTCTCACAATGAGGTTCGTCTGGGTCGCCGACAGCTTCATCCGTTCTGCGAACTGTGGAGCCCACGCCGAGTACGCATACTATCGAGCCAGGCAAGTCAGAAGAGCCATTCAAATCGTCGGCACGTATTTCGCAAGAGATCAAGGGCCTCCTCATACATTGGTTCCACACGCCAACGCTACAAAGGTGCAGGCGACCACCGACACAATCCGGCGCACATTATGAACAGAACTCATGATGTCGATAGAGACTGTGAGGCGGCTATTTCTTGCAGCACGCAATTAATCACCCTCAACAGAGCCGTCAAATCCCACCGAGCCCTGTCTGGTAGCCCGGAGATAAACGAGTAGATAGGGGGGCAGCACACAGAAGGTGCACGGCGACGGTGACCAGCTGCTGGAACAGCTCCGATAAAGAGAAGACAGAAACCGACACGAATCAATCAAGGAAGGAAAAGGAAAACGAGCGATAGCAGAAGCAACAGCACTCGCTGCTCCAGAAAAGTGGCCCCAAGTCGCTGCCGCGCGTAAATTCGGAGCGTCTGAAGCGGCGGGAGACTTTATCGATAACCAGTAATCTTAGCCGATCGGATGCTGACATAAGCAGCTTTCGTCGTCATGGGCCTTCCTTGTTCCGGCTGCTCCTCACTGCTCCTCACTGCAACACCTCGAGTCAGTCACCCAAGAATCCGCTCTCTGGTCTGCAGAAATGGGCGGGCTGTTGTCTATACCGCTGATGGCGGTCCCGAGTATGGGTACGGTATGTTTTGCTCCTCTTTGAGAGCCTTCGTTGATGCTGTCTGGTGGTGGTGATGATGGTAATGGAGTTGCCTGCTGACCCCTCACGTTCTACCAGCTCATTACTCTTGGGACCTCATGCTGTGGCGCTGCGACTTGCTCTGCTGTGTGCAGTGCATGTGGGAAGTTCCAGAATAGGTGGGTGCAGAGGAAGGGAGAGAATGATGGTGGTGGAGAAGGAGGCAGCGGCTAACAGAAGTGATAGTATGGCGACAAGAATTGCCTACGCCTTTATTTTGTTAATCAACTCGATCGCTTCCTGGATCATGCTGACGCCGTGGGCGTTGAAGAAACTGGAGCATCTGACGCTGGACTATATGGAGATTAAATGTGATGGGAAGGAGTGCCATGGCTGGGTGGCGGTTCATCGCATCAACTTTGGCCTGGGGCTTTTACATCTGCTCCTCGCATTCGCCCTGATTGGGGTCAGGACCTCCAAGGACAGTCGAGCGGCGCTGCAGAATGGGTTTTGGGGTCCGAAGATTATCCTCTGGCTCGTCTTCGTCGTCATGTCCTTCTTCATCCCGGAGCCCTTCTTCTTCGTCTACGGTCATTACATCGCGTTCTTCTGCGCCATGCTCTTCCTCCTGCTGGGTCTCATTCTCCTGGTAGACCTGGCCCACTCGTGGGCCGAACTGTGTTTGGAGAAAATTGAAGACAGCGATTCGCGCCTCTGGCGCGGTCTGCTCATTGGGTCGACCATGGGCATGTACGTTGCGTCCATCGTCATGACGGTGCTGATGTATGTCTTCTTTGCCGGCAAGGATTGCACCATGAACAAGACCTCCATAACCGTGAGTTACATTCTTTTTTTTTTTTTTTTTTTTGTACTTGGCAAGATACACTAGTACTGACCTTACAGATCAACCTGGTCATCTTCCTCATCATTTCCTTGGTTTCTGTACAGCCAGCGGTGCAGGAATCCAACCCGCGTGCGGGTCTGGCCCAAGCGGCCATGGTCACGGTTTACTGCACCTACCTCACCATGTCGGCAGTCTCCATGGAACCAGATGACATGCACTGCAATCCCTTGATTCGGGCTCGAGGCACCAGGACTGCCAGCATTATTCTCGGGGCGATTGCCACCATGGTAACGATCGCCTATACCACCACACGCGCGGCTACCCAGGGGATTGCTCTCGGATCCAAGGGCAATAACAACTATTCACGACTGGGTGCCGAGGAGAACGAGCACGGTCTTGTCACACAGCAGCCCAGCAGCCGCCGCGAGATGCGCGCCGAAGCTCTCCGCGCCGCCGTGGAGAGTGGAAGTCTGCCTGCCAGCGCGCTCGATGATGATGACGATGATGAAGATGACGATTTCGACACCAAGGATGACGAACGGGGCTCGACCCAGTACGACTACACCCTGTTCCACATCATCTTCTTCCTGGCCACTACGTGGGTGGCCACCCTACTCACCCAGAACCTGGACCCGAAGGCCACAGACGATTTTGCCGCCGTCGGTCGAACCTACTGGGCCAGCTGGGTGAAGATCATCAGTGCCTGGGTGTGCTATGCGATCTACCTGTGGACGCTGGTTGCACCTGTGCTTTTGCCAGATCGCTTCGATACCTATTAATTGAATAGTTATTTGGCTAGATATTCACTAGTTAATTGACTATTAGGGGGATGTATATACGTTCCATGGCGTCGTTACTTACACTTGGATGACGCAATCCTGTCTACTGTATTATTGTTATTAGCACATTCAATTCTCTATTCTCTTGCACCATTATACTCAATCCTCTCTAACTATCACTCAAGTATAATAATGATACTCCGTAGAGGGTGACGGTCTTGGCGCCAAACGCGTAATTAATCAGCCTCACGACTCACGCGTCCCACCAGCATCTTTTGAAATCAAGAACAAACACCATGGCATGAACATGGCCACAATCAAGGCCATCGAGGCCCGCTCGGTACTGCATTCAACCAGACACCCTCTGCTTTCATCTGCTGACTGTGCAGGTCCACCAAATCCAATCCGGCCAGGTCATCGTCGACCTGTGCTCTGTTGCAAAGGAGCTTGTCGAGAACGGACTCGATGCGGGGGCGACGTCGATTGGTAGGTAGCAAGCAAGCCTATGGCTTTACAAGGCTTTCAAACTGGCAGTTTGCTAATTTGGATATTGTTAGAGGTTCGATTCAAAAATAACGGGCTGGACGTGATTGAAGTGCAGGATAACGGGAGTGGGATAGCACCGGACAACTACGAGAACGTGGGTATGTTTTATTTTTATTTTTTTTTTGGAATGATTTGAGTATTTTTGGAGTCTACAGTTTCACTAAGATCAGTAATATGGTTTCTAGCGCTGAAGCATTACACGTCGAAACTGTCGAGCTACGATGACCTCTCACGTCTACAGACCTTTGGTTTTCGGGGCGAGGCGCTCTCGTCGCTGTGTGCTCTGTCCGATTTCTCCATCGTCACGGCACAGGCCAACCAAGCGCCGAAAGCGAACAGGCTGGAATTCGAGATCTCGGGAACACTGAAGAAGACACAGGTGGTCGCGGGCCAGAAGGGGACGACTGCGTCCGTGGTCGGGCTGTTCAAGAGGTTACCCGTGCGGCGACGCGAGCTGGAGAAGAACATCAAGCGCGAGTACGGCAAGGTGCTGAACCTGCTCCATGCGTACGCGTGTATCAGCGAAGGGGTGCGCTTCAGCGTCAAGAACACGGTGGGCAAGACCAAAAATGTCGTCGTCTTCTCCACGAACGGCAACCAGAGCGTCAAGGAGAACATCGCCAACGTGTACGGGGCGAAGACTCTGGGTGCGCTGATCCCGCTCGATCTCGCGCTGGAGTACGAAAGCTCCGTGTCGTCGGTGAATCGGGCCCAGCGCGCATCCAACAACCAAATCCAGGTCCGGGGCTTTGTCTCGCGTCCTGTGTTTGGGGAGGGGCGACAGACGCCCGACCGACAGATGTTCTTTGTGAATTCACGGCCCTGCGGCCTCCCGCAGATCGCCAAGGCGTTTAATGAAGCCTACAAGTCGTTCAACGTCGCGCAGTCGCCGTTTATCTGCGCAGACTTGCACATGGACACAACCGCGTACGATGTCAACGTCTCACCGGATAAACGGACCATCCTGCTGCACGATGCAGGCGCCCTGGTTGAGTCGTTGAAAGTGGCGTTGCTCGAACTCTTCGAGGCCGCGGAGCAGACGGTGCCCCAATCGCAGGTCTTTACACCCAAGCCGTCCGCGACGAGACAGCTGTCATTGAAGACAGTGCAGACTCCCGTGAGATCTAGAAGGGAAGATTCTGACAACCTGGCCTCGGACATTAATGACTCCCAGCTCGTGTCGGACGTTGCATCTAGCCAGGTGACCATGTCTCAGAGTCTGAAAGCTTTCAGCGCTCACCAGAGTGAGCGGAGCTCGCAGTTAGAGGTAGCCTCCTCCCCTGCACGAACCGTGCTGTCTCAAGCATCCCGAACGCAAGAGTTACATAGTCCGGAAAGGGAGAACGATGAAGAGTCAAATGATGGGGAAGATATATCTCAACAAAGTGAAGAACCGGTTCCTAACCTCCAAGCCGATTACTCCGAAACGCCCAACGTGATTCAAAATGCCTTTGACAGGATGCGACCGCGACGACTCCCTGCTGAGATGGCCGTCATCACCGTCGGTGACCGGACGGTCACCTCCAGGATTGGCAGTGGGATTCCTCGTAAACGGGCCTCGAATTCCCCTGGCTCCGGCGCACTGCCCAAACGACGAGTGCACACGCCGTCTCGCCCTGGTATTTTTGGTCAGCATATGCAATCTTTTGCGGCGGGAACCCATGAAGATGAAATCGAAGATGAAGATGAGGAGGGGGATGAAGAGGAGGATCGAGGGGAGAAAGAGGGAGAAGAGGGAGAGGGAGAGGAAGAAGAGGGAGAAGAAGAAGAAGAAGAAGAAGAAGAAGAGGAAGAGGAGGGTGACACGGATAAAGAGCACATTCAGGAGCCACTACAAACTCCCAGTCATGCAGACGTCGACATAGAAATGGAAGAAGCACCATCACCAGCACCGGCACCAGCACCGGCAGCAGGACTCAACGACGAAGCCAAACGAGTGCAAGACGAGGCCAAAGTGCAAGATTTGATCCGGGAGGCGGAGGCATCCACGGTGTCCGAGGAAAGCAGCCTGAAACGGGCCAACAAGTTCAACCGGGGAGCGACGCGCGACTCGACGGTGCAGCTGGTGAGTTTCATGGACGGGTCTACGGCACGGATCGCGGCGCAGATGAAGCAACTACGCGACAGTCTCGATTCTGGCATTGTTCGTAGGAATAAAGAAGAAGAAGAAGAAGAAGAAGAAGAGGTTACGGCGGAAGGCGAGGAACGGCTGTCGCTGACGGTCAGCAAGGAGGATTTCGCCCGGATGCGAATCGTCGGGCAGTTCAACCTGGGGTTCATCCTCGCGACACGGAGCCACGCCGGTGGAGACGAGGGACGAGACGAGCTGTTCATCATCGACCAGCACGCGTCGGACGAGAAGTTCAACTTTGAACGACTGCAGGCCGAGACGACGGTGCAGAACCAGCGCCTCGTACGGCCGCAGCGCCTGGAGCTGACCGCCGTCGAGGAGGAAGTGGTGTTAGCGAACCAGGCCGCGCTGGAGAAGAACGGGTTCCTCGTCGAGATAGACCAGAGCGGCGACCACCCCATCGGACGACGGTGCAGTCTTGTCTCCCTGCCGCTGAGCAAGGAGGTGGTCTTTGGCGTGCGCGATCTGGAAGAGCTGATCGTGCTGCTGTCCGAAACCGCGGGCGCGGGCGCAGGCGCAGACGACTTCATCCCGCGCCCGGGCAAAGTGCGTCGCATGTTCGCCATGCGGGCGTGCCGGTCGAGTATCATGGTGGGCAAGACGCTGACGGGGCGGCAGATGGAGCGTGTCGTGCGCAACATGGGCCGCATCGACAAGCCGTGGAACTGTCCGCATGGGAGGCCGACGATGCGCCATTTGGCGAGTTTGGATGCTGTGGGTATACTGAATAAAGATGTTGGATGAATAATTATAAATGAAATATCTATACATGTATAAAATGTCTATGATCTGTCTATAAATACTTATCAATGTGGGATACCCCACCATATCACATCTACATGTACAGAGTACCTCTTTAGTTATATAACCTCCCCCTACACCTACATCCACTACATCCACCTCTACACCCACAAAATATCTACCTACATCTATCTCCAGCTACAATGAACCCCACCACCGAGGCCAGAACAGCCTTCACCGCGACGCTGCACTCCGTGGGCGCGAATTTAGACCACGCCCTGACGACGCGCGCCAAGACGCTCCACGAGAACGACGCCGCGCTCCAGAAGCAAGAAGAGGAGATCAAGCGGTCGACGGAGGAGCTGCGGGGCCAGAATCAGAAGCTCGAGGGGTTGATGGACTCGGCGAGAGATGGGTTGAAGGAGATAGGCGATGTGCAGAACTGGGCGGAGATGTTGGAGCGGGATCTTTTGATTGTCGAGGAGACTCTACGCTTGGTGGAGGGGGATCATGACTATCATGACGATAGTCATGATAGTCATGTGGATAGCCATGGCGATAGTCAAGGGGATAGTCAGGATAGTCAGGATAGTCAGGATAGTCAGGATAGTCAGGATAGTCAGGATAGTCAGGATAGTCATAGTCATGGTCAAGGTACTGGATGGTTCAAGTGGTGGTAACCATTAATTCAATTCTATATTATCAATTATCAACGCACGCTACCGAAATCCATATTATGCTATTACATATTGGCCAGCTCCGTGTCAATCTGCCGGTCCAGGAAGACCCTCTTCTCCCCCGTGAGAGTCGTCTGCAGGCGCTGTTCCACGAGGGCGCGAACTGAATCGTTAGCATGAGTTCTACTTATATCGGTGACAAGTGCTACGGAAGACTTACCCTGCTTCTTGGTTACCGTGTCCAGATCCACCTCGGCCAAACACCCTCGGATCGCCTCCGTGATGGCCATCTCGTCCGCTCCGCCGCGGAAATCAAACGCCGTGCTGGCCGGCCGCGAGTACGGCTGCTGCGACCCGCGCGGACTGCGCGACGACTGCCGCAGCCCACTGCCCAGCAGGTTGTCCGTGCTCTGCATGAGTCCCACGCTGTGCCGGCTGCTCGCCAGCGGGTTGTCCTGGTACCCGCTCAGGTTGCCCATGGACATGTGCCGGGACTGCCCACCGCTGCCGCTGCCACCGCCGCCAGGGAAGTCCGTGTACCGCGTCAGACTGGACATGTGCGAGTTGCGGTTGCCCGGCGTGTGCAGGCCCGCTCCGCTACCGCCAAAGGGAGCCGGGGACTGCGGCGGGATGTAGGGGCTGCTGTGGCGGCCTTGGTGGCCGCCGGGGAATCCCGTGAGAATGGTCGACGCGGGCCGCACCGAGGAGTAGTTGGAGTGCAGATCATCCATCTCCACGGCGACCTCGTCGACGTAGCCCGTCGCGTACAGTTTCTCCTGGCTGGTCCCGTACGCCGCCGTGTCGCCGCCACGGCGGCCCGGAAGGTTGTTGGCATAGGCATAGTCGTCCCAGCGCTGCAGTGGAATGCTGCGCGGGTCGAACCCTTCGTCCTCGACGGCGATGACGCGCTTGTCGCCCTTCTCGCCGATGACAACGCGGGTGCTGCCCCAGGTGAAGTCGTCCTGCCGCCAAAAGGCGTACAGGGGCAGGACGAAGTTGTAGATGGGGAAGGCCAGGATGTAGATGATCATCCAGCCGACATGCTGCCACTGCCGCTTGATGATGAAGATGACCGCCTGCAGACCGTACACACCTGCCAGGATCGCCACGGAGATAATCACCGTGGTGCCCTGGTCCGTGGCCACCATGTAGATCAGGTATCCCAGGTATACGCAGGTGGCGGGCAGGATGATGGTGCCCATCAGATCGACCAGCACCACAAACCGCATGCTGAAGCAGCAGAAGCCGCACATGTCTTGCAGGAATGCCAACTCCACCAGGTTATGCACGGTCGAGTTGATCCATCGTCGTCGCTGTGAGAGAAGCACATTCCAGGTGTCTGGCGCTGCCGTGCTCGCGTACGCATCGGGAATGAACTTGTACGACATGGCGGGGAAGTTCTTGGTCATCAGCGTTGTCAGGTATCGATCCTCGCCGAGCGATAACAGGTTCTTCTTATGCAGTGTGTCTACATCGTTGTCCGCATACGCCTCGATGATCTTGTCGGAAATAATCAACGGCCGACCTTTGTCGGCTGTTCGTAAACGATACATGCAGAAACTAAACTTTTTTTTAGCAAATAAACCTGAGATAAACGGGAAGGGACAGGGGATTACCATCCAGGAAGACAGGTGACACTGCCAAAGAGGGATTCGAAAGCTTTGACGAGATGGTGAGAGATATAATACTCGTAGACCTGAATCATGGTCCACCAGCTGCCCTCTTCGTTCTGCAGGCTGGTCTCGCCGCAGATGCCGGCGATCTTGGCGTCGTTGGCGCAGGCGGCCACCAGACGGTTCAGGGCGTCTTCCTTGACGGAGGTGTCGGCATCGACCATGAGACAGTACTCGTAGAGTTCCGGGTCCACGCCGATGACGTTGTTGACCTGGTGGAAGATCTCGAGCTCGAGCGGCGACATGGGCGAGCGGTGATGCACGCGATTGAGGAACTGGAGCAGGAGGATCTGCGAGTCACGTTTGCCCCGGTTGCCCGGCTTGGACTTGTTCTGCTCGGATTCCTTGCCCACTTTCACGATGACCAGGTAGGGGACCACGTTGCCCTGGTACTCGTACAGACCCGAGTAGACTTTGCCGTAGTTGAGCTGCTCGCTGCCCTGGCCGATGGATCGGAAGGGCAGCGCGGGCGGGTCCATCTTGGGGTCGACGCCGAGGATGTCGAGGACGATCTTGGGCGTGGGGCGGTCGTTGCCGCCGCCGACGATCATGCCGTCGCAGATGACGCAGATGAGCTTGCGTTTGTTGTCGTACTCGAGCGCGGTGAGGGAATCGAGCCCCTGGCGCAGCGCGTCCTCACCCTCAGTATACGCGGGGACCATGCAGATGACGAACTTGTCCTGCGGGGAGGGGCGTCGCTTGGAGCCCAGCTGCAGGGCCGCCAGGAACTTGATGAGCACGACGGCGCAGATGAGGATGGTGAAGGTGAGCAGGATCCAGTTGTTGACCGAGCAGCGGGGCGAGTCCCGGAAGTCGACGCGCCCGACGAAGAAGACGTTCTGCAGGCAATTCAGGGCGTTCTCGAACTTGACCGTGTCCTGCCACTTGGAGGTGATGTCGGTGCCCGGGTAGTTCTTGAAGAGGTCGGACACCGCGGTCGGGAGGAACTCGTAGTCCGACTCGTCGTCCATCAGATCCACCGTGTAGAAGTAGTTGGTGAGGTCGTAGATGTTGTCGTTGAGGATGGCCCAGTAGCGCGAGTAATCGTTGGCCTGCTTGGTGATGGTGTCTTTGGACCACACCAGGTAGCCCTTGTAATACTGGGTGATCTTGGGGATGTAGATCTGCTCGTACCAGGTGATGTTGTGCAGGGCCGTGGTCGTGCTCGGCTGCTCGATGGGCCCGCAGGAGTGCAGGGCGTCGGAGTAGAGGACGGCGTCGGTGTTGTTGTTCTCGAGGTTGATGTCCTCGCTGGTCACGAACGCGGCGCACGTGCGGGTCAGCGGAGGGGGGAAATAGGCGTCGAGGACCTCGCCGGCAAAGGGCTTCATGTTGGTCGTGGTGGTGGACACGCCGTTGTCGCTGTGGTCCAGGCGCCAGAACTTGGTGATGTCGTAGACCTTGCCGTGGATGCTGACGTAGAAGTCATCGTCGAGGTCGTGGTAGCTGACCTGCTTCTTGTTCCACACGTGGGCCTTGTTGGGGCAGAGCAGGTTGCCAAAGGCGATGATGTAGAAGAGGACGGTGGCATTGAACAGGAGGATGAGACACATGAGCACCAGCTTTTCGCGCCACGCCATGCGCACGTCGGGCCGTTTCATGCGGCCGATGTAGCGGAGGAAGGGGGAGGGGATCCAGAAGGTGATGGCCCACACGAAGCCCGCCCACACGCGTCGACCGGCCGGGATGGTCTTCTTTTCGATGTGCTTGGGGTCCCCAAACTCCGGGTCCAGCTCCCCGGTGAACTTGGACATGTCGCCATCGTAGAGGGCGAAGTCGCCCTTGCGGTAGTCACCCTTGGGACCCAAGCCGTAGTCTCCGACGGTGTTGATCTGACTTGGAGCCACGGACTTCGCGGCGCCGCCCATCACGCTGGGCGCCAGCATGCTTTGGCGTCGCGAGGCGGGGAGAAGGTTGCCTTCTCGGGCCCCGCCGAGCAGACTGGCGGACTCGGCCATGAGGTTCGCCTGGCTGGCCGACAGGCCCGGATCGTGGAAAAAGCCACTGTTTCCCGGCCCGCCCAGGAACGGGTTGGCGGGGGATTCGTCGGGTTTCATGTCGAGCATCGTCTCGGCCTCCCACCAGGCGTTCTCCCGCATCCAGATGCGCTGGTGGCCGACCACGGCTTCGCCGTTGCTCCAGCCCCGTTCCAGGAGCCAGCTCTCGACGCCATCCTTGCCGTCGGCGCAGCCGAGACGGGCGTAGCGACCGACAAACTCTTCGACATCGAAGTCGGCGGTGAAATCGAGTCGCTTCAGGCGGCGGTTGGCCCATTCGGGCAACCGCCAGTCCCGCAGCTGGCGGGAGACCACACCGGCAGACCAGGAGGAGGAGGTCGAGGACGAGGTGGCCAGCGTGGCGGGGTTGTCGTCGGTCGGATGGATGGAAATGTGGTACCACACGCGGCTGCTCTCCAGCGTGGTGGTCAGATCGAACCGACGGCCGCGGGGGCCAACCGCGATACCCTGGGGGGGCTGGGTTGAAGTTTCAACCGGGTAGAGCACCTGATGGAGGAAGGCGTCGGACTCGAGCTCGACGCCGACCTTCTCCAGGGCGGCCTGTCGGGTCTCGAGGTCATGCTCCCGCTCGTGACCGGCGGGACCGGTCATGATGCCCAGGTCGGCTTCCACCTGAGACACGGCGGTAGTCATTTCGTTCAAGACGGAGTGGCCGACGGCCGGGATATCGACCCCATCGTCCTTCATCTCGGCGTTGATGCCAAGGGAATCATCGAAAATCCCGCGGAGGGCTACCGCCTTGCCGAGCGCCGGCCGGGGGATGTCGACGACGGTGATACTGACACTGTCGTCGTGTCCCAGGGCCGCCGAACCACCAGCAGCACCAGCAGCAGCACCGACACCGCTGGCCGAGTCGCTGTCTGGCCGGTTCTGGATCTCTGCGGCGATGGCTTCGTTCGCCTTGGAGATGACCCAATCGACCAGGGCCTCATAGATGCCGGAGATCAGGGCCTCACGGTCATCGGTGGTGCATTTATGCAAAAGGACGTCGGGATCGAGGGCCAAGAGGTCGCCCACGTCCTCACAGACCTGCTCCAGGACCTCTTGGTCGACGAGGAAGCCGACGGCATTGCCCAGCTTGAGCAGACCGGCGAGAACGGACAGGAGACCTCTCTGGGCGGCTCCCTTGATGCCGATGGCCTTGAGGGCGGAGCGGAAGTCCTCGGCGGCGGCGGCATCATCGGTGGTGGGGAGGTAGGCCGGGGGGTCAAAGGTGCCGGACTTGCTGAGCAAGGAGTAGGCGGTGAGGTCGTGGAGGCCCAAGAACTCGCGCTCGGCCGGGGTGGAGGCGGAGGTCAGCAGGTAGTAGAAGACATCAAAGGCACGATAGCCCGGTTCAGCGGGAATATCCAGGAAGCCCTTGCGGGTGTTGATTCCGGAGGTGGAGAGGGCGAGCGAGAGGGCGGTCAGGGAGCCCTTCAAGGTGAAGGTATAGGAAGCCGCCAGAGCAGAATGGAGCGAGTAGGAGGGATTAAACGCGGTAACCGCGGTGAGAAAGGGGCGGAGGGCCGCCAGCGCGGTGAAAGCGACGCCGGGGGTGGACAAGGGCAGGGCGGCGAGGAAGGGAGCGAGTAGCGAGGGGGTTGACTGATGGGTTGAACTGCGCAAGATTTGATTGTCAGTAGAAGAAGAAGAAGAAGAAGAAGAATATATGGAGACCGTGATTGAGAGCGCACCATAGAACAATACAGCCATCTTCTGCTCTCCTGCGAGCGTGCTCCCAGGCCCTCAGGGCCAAGTCCCGGTCGATGGTACCGCCATTGATTCCGTCCGGGGTGCCGTGAACGGCGGTGGCCCAGGTGTTGACGACGAGACTGGTGCTCGCGTCCAGCTGGCAGGGCTGACCGGAGGCGTAGAAGGAGTGCAGCGCGTTGAGGAGACTGGTTGTTGAGACCTGCGAGGCCTGTTGGGGGGCAGCGCCCGACATGGTCGAGTAGACGGAGTAGCGATTCGACATGGCGATGAGATGTATTTTTTGACCTTTCGATCTTGATTTCGATCTTCTGACCGAGTCTTCACTGGCAATTTCACCTCCTATCCACTTCGTGGACTCGACGGAGCAGCTGGACCTAGAACATGGAGCAGGCTGAGCACTGTCTTGCCGGCGTGTAGAACGAAACCCAGGACAGCCACAGCGACAGCGACAGCTCCCTCTATCACTATTTCTCTCCCCTTGTTCTCTCCCTTTCTTTCAGTCTCCTCGCTCTGAACAGGATCGAGACAGTGTGAAGAACGAGAGCGGGCGAACGTGGCGAGTGGCCGGGGCGAAGAATGCCAGGACAGGGACAGTTGGCCCAACAACCGGAAATTCCACGGCAGCGAACGAAGGACGCGAGAGAACGAGTGTGGGGGACTGCAGCAATTCGTGACTATTGCATCACGTACGACGAGACGACGACAGACACGGACGACAGCAGAAATGATGGACAGAGGCAAGACGAGAAAGCTGGAGGAGGAGAAGAGCGAGTGGAGAGTTTCGGTTTTGGACTTTGGAGAGAGACACTTTTTGGACCAAAACAGGCAGTTACAGACACTAAGACCAGGGTCAGTCTGGATTGGGGATAGTGTGGCACTAGTGTATTCTATATGACAATACGGTACCTGCAGGTTATTTTAAGCGATCGTAGTATGACCTGAGGGGGCTATAGAATATTTATAGATAGATACAATAGATACACTATGTAGTAGGTAGAGAGTAGTAGAGAGAGTAGTAGAGAGAGTAGTCAGTATACTATGTAGTACTCATTACCTGCAATACTACTAACCTCTATTCTAATAATATCTGTTCTGTCTCAGGGTGGCGTGGTGGCCTCCAATCATGGTTATTCGAGGCGGACCCTATATTTGGATCAGACATTACATAGTATTGCAGTAGTCTATAATAATAATAATATTATTATTCATGAGTATTGTAAATCTGATTATATGGTAGACAGTAATAGGTAGATACTTCCTATATACTCTACTCTACTCCTCTACCGGGTACTCTACTAGGTACTATGTACCAGTAGTAAACAAATACTGTAAACAAAGACTAAACAAATTGACCAGGGACTGTGACACAGCGGAATTACGACCCGAGGTATTTCAGGGTTTACTATGGCATATCTATTGTATTTTATTGGCCAGTAGAGCTCGGGCTGGGTGATCAGTCCCTGGATCGGCTAGTGTTGTATTGGTATTACAGCCCCTATTAAGTACCTAGAGTACGAAGTACTCCGTAGTAGTACTCAGTATAGTACTTTGAAAGGGTATTCAAAGTACCAGGAAGTATGCCAGGTGAGATAAATAGAATAGATTTATCACACTAAGACGACAGTAAGACTAGGTACAGTAAGATCAGTAAGACTTAGTACCCTTAGATCACTTTATCGGAACAACCCCAGAGTGGGTAAGCATAGTGTGGTACAGATGGGCCGGTACAGGTACTAGTCCCTCTACTTATAATAGGTAGAACTATAGGTACCTGGTACTCTGTGCTCCGTAGCTCCAAATAATACCCTTCGTATCTCTCTGTACCACGTATGTTTGGCCATTTCGGGCCTTCACCACCTCTTTCCAACTCCCTCTCCCTCCCTCCCTCCCTCCCTCCCTCCCTCTCTCTCTCTCTCTCACTCTCTCACTCTCACTCTCCCCCTCACTCTCCATCTCCCTCGGTGGAAATCACATTCCACAGACCCTAGGGTTTGGTTAATGCCTTGTTTTTTCTGCCCTTAGCCTTTGTTTTCCCACTCTCGTTACCCTGTTCTTGTCGTCCCTTATTTTTTTTTTCCCGCTCCCCACGATCGCTTGTCTGGGTGGGACGTTCAAGCCTCACCTTACGTTCGCTTCGTCTGGACCCTGAAAGTGGAACAGAGAAATAAAGAAACTCGGAACATTTGAAGAATAATCCGGCCCCTGCCATGACCCTCCGCCGCGAGAGGCCTGCCCGTTGAGCAACACGCCGAGCCCAGCATTCCAGTCGGCGAACTGACCAGGTTTCGCGCCTGTCCTTGGCCAACACCCGGAATCCCATCGTCGTTCGGTCGAAAGATATCTGGTTAAAGGCTTCCAGGACCTGTGAGACCTTTGCTGAATCGACAGAACCTCCCAACCATGGCTGGGAGCGCCCCCTCGTACGCGCAGTCGTCCCTCCCGTCGCTGCCCGCCCACCTGCAGTCCGACACCCATTTGACGGCCCATCTCGCCAGCAGGTGAGTCTAGTAGCTCATGTACAGCCCCATTGATTCCTCTTCTCTGACCCTTGCTACAGGTTTCATGTCGGTCTGCCCACTGCCCGTCTGTCGTCGCAGGCGTTGATCAGTTTCAATACATATACCTCCTCCGCCAAGGGTCCGGATGGCGGCAAGGAAGGGAGTGCCATGGGCGAGGCCGAGGATCTGGCCAAGCGTGCCTTTACCAGACTCGGCGCTCGTGCCGAGAACCAGGCAATCGTGTTTCTGTCAGTCTTTCGAGCCGTCTTCCTTCGTGACTGACTGACTGACTGACTGACTGACTATATAGTGGAGAGAGTGGTGCGGGCAAGACCACCATCCGATCACATCTCCTGTCCTCCTTCTTGTCCTTCTCCTCCACGCCTCTCTCCGCCAAACTCTCCTATGCCGCCTTTCTGTTCGATACCTTGACCACCACCAAGTCCGCCACCACCCCGACCGCCTCCAAGGCTGGCCTCTTCCTCGAGCTGCAGTACGACGGTTCTTCCTCCGTCAACCCCACCCTGATCGGTGGCAAGATCATCGACCACCGTCTTGAACGCAGTCGTATCGCCTCCGTCCCCACCGGCGAGCGAAGTTTCCATGTCCTCTACTATCTTCTGGCCGGCACCAGTGCCGCCGAAAAGGCTCACCTGGGCTTCGACACCTCGGTCAGCGTCAGCACCTCTGGCGGCCGCCTCTCCTCCGGCTCCATCGGCCACAAGCGGTGGCGCTATCTCGGCCATCCCACCCAGCTCAAGGTCGGCATCAACGACCATGAAGGCTTTCAGCACTTCAAGACCGCCCTGCGCAAGCTCGAGTTCCCCCGCAGCGAGATCGCCGAGATCTGTCAGATCCTCGCCAGCATCCTGCACATCGGTCAGCTCGAGTTTGCCAGCGGCCAGTCCACCACCACCTCCGCCGAGGAGAGCGGCGGCTATTCGCACGAGGGCGGCGAGACCGTCACCGTCGTCAAGAACAAGGACGTCCTGGCCAACGTCGCCGCCTTCCTCGGCCTCGCCGTCGAGGATCTCGAGAACAGCCTGGGCTACCGCTCCAAGACCATCCGCCGCGAGCGCGTCACCATCATGCTGGACCCGCAGGGCGCTCGCCAGAACGCTGATGATCTCGCCCGCACCATCTATTCCCTGCTGGTCGCCTACATCATCGAAACCGTCAACCAGCGCATCTGCGCCGCCGAGGAGAGCGTCGCCAACACCATCTCCATCGTCGACTTCCCGGGATTCGCCCAAGCCTCCGCCACCGGCTCCGTCCTCGACCAGTTGCTCAGCAATGCCGCCACCGAGTCGCTCTACAACTTCTGCCTGCAGACCTTCTTCGATCGCAAGGCCGACATGCTCGAACGTGAGGAGGTCGCCGTCGCCGCCACCAGCTATTTCGATAACACCGATGCCGTCCGCGGCCTGCTGAAGCACAGCAACGGCCTCCTCAGCATCCTCGATGACCAGACCCGCCGCGGCCGCTCCGACACCCAGTTCCTCGAGAGTGTCAAGAAGCGCTTTGCCAACAAGAACCCCGCCATCGCCGTCGGCAATGCTTCCAGTGAGCATCGCCACAGCGGCGGCAAGTACCCCTCCCCGCTCACCACCTCCGCCTTCACCGTCAAGCATTTCGCCGGGGAGGTCGACTACCCCGTCCATGGCCTGGTCGAGGAAAACGGCGATGTCATCTCCAGCGATCTGATGAACCTCATCCAGCGCACCCGCAGTGACTTTGTGCGCGAGCTGTTTGGCCAGGAGGCCCTGCAAAAGGTCACCCACCCCCACGAAAAGACCGCCATCATGCAGGCCTCGGTCAGTTCCAAGCCCATGCGCATGCCGAGCATGGTCAAGCGGAAAAGCCACCGCGCCACCTCGGCCGGACGCCTACCCGCCCCGGAACCTTCACTCGCGGGCAGCGAAGATGCTGTCTCGGAATACGAGAGTCAGACCAGCAGCACCCGCAAGTCCGGAGGAGCTACCCGTCGCAAGAGTGGCGGCGGCGGCGGCGGCGGCGGCGCTCTGGCCGGGACCGTGCAGGGGGTCGCCGGCCAGTTCCTCTCCTCCCTGGACATCGTGAACAAGTGCCTGAGCTCCCCCAACCTGAACCCGTACTTTGTCTTCTGCCTGAAACCCAACGACCGCCGCATCGCCAACCAATTCGACAGCAAGTGCGTCCGCGCCCAGGTGCAGACCTTTGGCATCACCGAGATCAGTCAGCGTCTCCGAAACGCCGACTTCACCGTCTTTCTCCCCTTTGCCGAGTTTCTCGGCCTCGCCGAGATCGGCAGCCTGGTCGTCGGGAGTGACCGCGAGAAATCCGAGGTCGTCCTGGACGAACGGCGCTGGCCCGGAAACGAGGCCCGCGTCGGCAGCACAGGAGTCTTCCTCAGCGAACGCTGTTGGGCCGATCTCGCCAAGGTCGGCGAACGTGTCGTCCCCGTCTATCCCGTGGAGGGAGCCGGCGGCGATGGCAATGGCATGCTCCACCCACGCGACGCAGCCGCCGCCCCGGCCGCCTACAACGACTCCAAGGTCCGTCTGCTTGCGGCCGGCGATGGGGACCACACCCCCGGGGCGTTCATCTACGGCGATGAGAGCAAGCAGGGGGGTTACTTTGGCAGCCGCGAGCTCGACGGCCGATCCGAGGCGGGCGGCTCGGCCATCAACTCGGGCGATATGTTCCGCAACTTCGAGACCCGTGAACAGATGCTCGAAAAGGGCAACGAGAAGCAGATGGAAGAGGTCGACGATGTGCCGGTCTCGACGGCGCGCAAGCGCTGGATGGCCCTGGTCTGGATGCTGACCTTTTACATCCCCAACTTCTTCATCAGATTCTTCGGCCGCAAGAAGCGCAAGGACATCCAGCTGGCCTGGCGCGAGAAGCTGGCCATCAACCTGATCATCTGGATCAGCTGTGGCGCCGCCATCTTCGTCATTGTCGCCCTGCCTGACCTCATCTGTCCCACGCAGGATGTCTTCACCACCGCGGAGCTGTCCAGCCACAACGGCAAGAACGGCCACAGCTCCTATGTGGCCATCCGGGGGGTCGTCTTCAACCTGGGCTCCTTCATGCCCGCCCATTACCCCAGCGTCGTCCCCGAAACGGCGCTGAAGAAGTTCGCCGGCGTCGACGCCACCGACCTGTTCCCCGTGCAGGTGTCGGCGCTCTGCCAGGGCACCTCGGGCTCGATCAGTCCGACCGTGCTGCTGGACTACACTTCGACCAACGACTCCAGCTCCACCACCTCCAGTGCCGCGGTCGAGTACTCCGTCTACCACGACTTCCGCTATTTCACCAACCTCTCCCAGCCGGACTGGTTCTACGAGCAGATGGTCTACCTCAAAGCCAACTACTTCAAGGGTTACATGGGCTACACCCCGGCGGAACTCAAGCTCCTGGCCAAGGACAAGTCGACCGTGGGCAGCATCGACGGCAAGGTGTACGACCTGACCACCTATGTTGCCGGGGGCCGTCGTACCGCGGCACCGCCCGGCAAGACCGTCCCGGCGGACGTCGACACCAACTTCATGAGTGACAAGGTCATCTCCATGTTCGAAGAGCAGACCGGGAAAGATCTGACCAAGTATTGGAACGAACTGGACATCTCCCTGGAGATGCGGGCGCGGATGCAGCTGTGCCTGGACAATCTGTTCTTCGTCGGGCACGTCGACACGCGAAACTCGCCGAAATGTCTCTTCGCCCGCTACTTCCTGCTCTCGCTGACCCTCTGTGTCTGCTCGGTGGTGCTGTTCAAGTTCTTTGCCGCGTTGCAGTTTGGCAGCAGGAACATCCCCGAGAACCTGGACAAGTTCGTCATCTGCCAGGTGCCCGCGTACACGGAGGACGAAGAGTCTCTGCGCCGTGCCATCGACTCCATGGCGCGCATGCAGTACGACGACAAACGCAAGCTGCTGGTCGTCATCTGCGACGGCATGATCATCGGGCAGGGCAACGACCGCCCCACGCCGCGCATCGTGCTGGACGTGCTGGGCGTGCCGGACACGGTCGACCCGGAGCCGCTCAGCTTCGAGAGTCTGGGCGAAGGGCTGAAGCAGCACAACATGGCGAAAGTCTACTCGGGCCTGTACGAGGTGCAGGGTCACATCGTCCCCTACCTCGTCGTGGTCAAGGTGGGCAAACCGTCCGAGGTGTCGCGGCCGGGCAACCGCGGCAAGCGAGACTCGCAGATGATCCTGATGCGGTTCCTGAACCGGGTGCACTACAACCTCCCTATGAGTCCCATGGAGCTGGAGATGCACCATCAGATCCGCAACATCATCGGCGTCAACCCGACCTTCTACGAGTTCATCCTGCAGGTCGACGCCGACACGGTCGTGGCGCCGGACTCGGCCACGCGCATGGTGGCCGCCTTCCTCGACGACACGCGCCTGATCGGCGTGTGCGGCGAGACCTCGCTGACCAACGCCAAGACGTCGATCGTCACCATGATCCAGGTGTACGAGTACTACATCTCGCACAACCTGACCAAGGCGTTTGAGTCGCTGTTCGGGTCCGTGACGTGTCTGCCGGGTTGCTTCAGTATGTACCGGATCCGCTCGTCCGAGTCCGGCAAGCCGCTGTTCGTCAGCAAGGAGATCTGCGAGTCCTACTCGGAGATCCGCGTTGACACGCTGCACATGAAGAACCTGCTGCACCTGGGCGAGGACCGATACCTGACGACGATCCTGATGCGGCACCATCCGAAATACAAGACCAAGTACATCTTCAACGCGCATGCGTGGACGATCGCGCCCGAGAGCTGGGCGGTCTTCCTGTCGCAGCGGCGGCGCTGGATCAACTCGACCGTGCACAACCTGATCGAGCTGATCCCGCTGGCGGAGATGTGCGGCTTCTGCTGCTTCAGCATGCGGTTCATCGTCTTCGTCGACCTGCTCTCCACCATCATCCAGCCCGTGACCCTCGCCTACATCGTCTACCTGATCGTCTGGCTCATCCGCGACACCACCGTCGTTCCCTGGACCACCTTCGCCCTGCTGGGTGCCATCTACGGTCTCCAGGCCATCATCTTCCTGCTGCGCCGCAAGTGGGAGATGGTCGGCTGGATGATCATCTACATCCTCGCCATGCCCGTGTTCTCCCTCGCCGTCCCCCTCTACGCCTTCTGGCACATGGACGACTTCAGCTGGGGTACCACCCGCGTCATCACGGGAGAAAAGGGCCGCAAGGTCGTCATCTCAGACGAGGGCAAGTTCGACCCGGCCTCCATCCCCAAGAAACGCTGGGAAGAGTACCAGGCCGAACTGTGGGAGGCCCATTCCCAGCGTGACGACCGCTCCGAAGTCTCGGGCTACTCGTACGTCACCAAATCCTACCATCCCGCCCAATCCGAATACGGCTTCGGTGCTGCCGCTGGTACAGGTGCAGGCCACCACCATCCCCCTTCCCGCCCCATGTCGCAGCTCGACCTACCCCGTCTCAGCTCGCGCATGTCCTTTGGCGCCTCCGAAGTGATGAGCCAGCATAATATGGACATGGAGCTCGACGACCTCGCCCATCTCCCCTCCGACGACGCCATCCTCACCGAGATCCGCGAGATCCTCCGCACCGCAGATCTGATGACCGTCACCAAGAAGAGTATCAAGACGGAGCTCGAGCGGCGCTTCGGCGTCAACCTCGACATCAAGCGGCCATATATCAACTCAGGTATTCCATTCTTTCAATCCTTTTTCTTCTCTTCATCTGTGTCATCTGCTAATTAAACCGTCTAGCCACCGAAGCTATTCTCTCTGGCGGGCTTTAATGCAATCCATCCATGTCCCGGCGTACGGTTCGCATCATGACAGCGTTATTTGGTTGTATATCAGTAATCATAATGGGATCATAAGTCAATGTTAGTAGTAGAGTTACTACAGTACACTAGGGGATCTTCTCCCTTCGATAATCTTGTCGAGAGTATGTATGGAGTAGTAGAGTAACCTTTGTAGTAGAGTAACCTTAAATCTACTAGTCTATCTACTACGGCCAAGGCTATGCTACTGCATTCTGGTATCGCAAGATGGTATATAGAATTTGATCCAAAACAAACGAGCGAGAGGAAAAGAAAAAAAAAAAAAAAAGGAAAACTCCGAGATGAGGAGAGAGCAAGAAACGAGAAACACCATCCATCATACACCTCGTTTCACTTGGTATCATATCTTTATTTTAATCAAGCAAGTCTTCCTCCAAGCCCATAAACAAGTAGAACGAAACAGCAAAGCAGAGCTGGACTGGTAGTAGACACTCTCACTCGTGAGAAAGAGAGAGAGAAATGTTCTTCACTACCAACCAGCTGGTATCAACCGAAAACAGACCGCTGGAAACACAAAAGGTACCGAGGGGGGATAAAGGGTATACTGCTCCTGGGGGTATACTGCTGCGAATGAATGGGAGTGACTGGATATCAACGCGGTGGCCCAATCGGGGCCGGGTATCCTGAAGTAGAATTCGACGTGCTCGGGCGACCACTGTCGAAGGAGGCACGCGGGTCGTGCTTGGGCGTCATGTCGCCCGGCGCCGTGCCAAAGGGGAACTTCATGTCGAAGCGGGACGGCCAGCCGTTGCTGGCGGTGCTGTTGCCTGTCCCGCCGCTGTTGTTGTGGCTGTGGGAACTCCCCAGGACGGCGGCCGTCGTCGTAGTCGTTGTCGCCGACCCGTCGTCCTCGGGGAGATTGACCCCAGAGTCGTTCCATGGATTGCGGTAGCCGCTGTCGCGGGATTCCATGGAGATCAGAGAGGTTTTGGACGCGTTACTGGACGCGTGCTTGAAGAACGAACCGGGCGAAGCAGAGTGGTTCTTGCGCCCGATGAACGAAGAGAAAGAAGAGATGCTGCCGGGCTTGCGCAGCCGCTCAAAGATAGAGCCCCGCTCGCTCGTCTCGTCGGAAAAGTTGGGCCGCGTCGGCGAGTCTGTCACGATGGGGATCGGCGCGTGCTGGAGCAGCTTCGAGTCGAAGAACGGGAGCGATTCTTCAAACGAATCCGACTTGGGCCGCGGGATCGCACCCTTGATGGTTGTCGCGTCGAGGCCGTGGGCCACCAGCCGGGATATCAGATAGTCAATCGCATCCTTCAGCCCACCGGCATTGTTGCGCGTGTAACCGAGCACGACACGATCCTCGGCCGCAGGGCTGGGAGAAGATGACTCTTCCTCCGACGGAATCGCAAGATCAGCACCAGTGTCCACCGTCGTGTCCACCTCGTACTGTTCCTTGAGCTTGGCCCGCACGTCACGCAAAAATTCGGACGACTTGAAAAAGTCACGCAGTTCAGGGGAACTCAAAAAGAGCAACTCGTGGTTTTCAGGGACCATTCCCTAGAAAATTAGCCTACTTCAATTCACATGAAAAAAAAAAAAAAAAAAAAAAAAAAAAAAAAAAACTCACCAGTAAAGCGTCAACGGCTTGGGGAACCTGGTACTCGGGCCCAGAGATGCTCACGACATCACTGGCAAGCTCCGTGCTGGGAAACTCGATCTTGCAGTTCCACTTCTTTTCGAGTTCCTCAATCTCCGACAGGCGGGTGAGCAGCTCGCGGTGGTACAACCGGTTGATGACAACCCGTTCGGAAACGTACTCCGCATCCTATGAATAGTGAGACATTTCTGCCTGGGAATAAATAGCCCTTGGGATTGGAAATGAGAAGGAAAAAAAAGACGTACCACTTTCTCAACCATGTCCATAATCTCCTGCTTGACGAGATCGAGACTCTGTGCGTTGCGAGCGGGAGTGCGGCAGATGACATTGTCGACCTTGATGTCATCATCCTCCTTTCCCATGCCGCCACGGTCCATGGCGTTGGAGAACTTGACAAAGACCGAGTACTTCTTCATGATGCGTTGAATATGCTGGCCACCGATCCCGATGATCCGTTTATGGTACTGGTCGGGAACGTGGAAGGAGATGGATGCCGGCATCTCCTGCTCGACCAGATCCAGGCCGTTCTTGGTTGACTCGTACTGGTTGCCGCACACATCGATGTAGAAGTTATATTCGTTGAAGCCATCGAAAATGATCTGCACATTGCCTACAACCATGATCAGTTCTGAAGCCAAGGTACCAACCAGCAGAAGGGGAGCTTAGGAAGCTTACTCTGTCCCATGATCTTGTTGATCTTGCCGTTCTTCTTGCCACTGACAAACTCCTTGTGCTCGTTTGCAAGCTCGATCTTGACCCGCATCTGGTACTGGCTCCGCTTGACAAAGGGAATCTGATTGATGACCATCATGGCGGCCTTGACAGCGTCGTCGGATCCGTTGATGGTGAATGTCAGGTTGTCGAAGCTGACCTCGGCGCCAGAGTTGGTGCAAATGTCGGAGAGCATGGTGCGGACCTCGACGGCGGAAGGAGCGCGGAAACCGGCCTGAGAGGGATCAGGCATGATGATCCACCAGGAAGCGCTGTAAAACTGGCCGGCCTGTCGATTTATTAATGATTCTGTAGGGAGAGAAGAACTTTCCG